CACTATCCTAAAGTCAAAGTAATTTAAGCTTGGGAGTTTGAATGTGTCAGCAGGGTTTTAAACATTTGCTTAATGTTAGTTGGGAAAATGTTACTGCAGCTTGAGGCTCATCCTGTTGTAGGGAATTTTAGAAAATCTACTGTCTGTGGTTTAGAACTTCTAACCTATTCAATCCCATTTGACAGTTTCTCGTGTGATGTAAGTAATTAGTACATTGTAGAAATGTTCCAAATAATAGTTATAAACTGTACCATGCTATTACTGAAACATGAATTCCTTAAAAATATAAGATAATATTTGAATACATTTTGACTATCAATACAACCAAGACATATAAACTAGCTCTAAATACACTTTAACAATTACTTTCAGCTCTTCAGAAGTGCTGTCACCTTTTTCACAGCAGCCATTTTGACATGAACTAGTAGGGTAAACACAGGTGTTGCCAGTGAAGGTTCTGTTCCATTTAGTGTAGCAGAGCCTTTCCAGTGAAACAACATGCAAAAAAGCAGCACCCTGACCTGAATGGAACCTTAATTAGTACCACTGGTAACATCTGTGTTTACCCTACTATTTAATGTCAAAATGTCTGCTGTGAAAAAGGTCTGTTGTAGTAGTTTAATGTTTTTGGGCCATTTTTGCTCTAGGGATGGTAATGTTGGTCCATCAATTGGTCAACCAGTTTAGCAAAGACTGAATTATACAATATAACTATTGTATGGATTGTCAAAAAACTATGCATGCTAACACACTAAACTAAGATGATGAATATAGTAAACATTATACCAACTAAACATCAGTATGTTAGCATTGTCATTTTGAGCATGTTAGCAACTCAAAACTCTCCGTCTTGTTTTGTTTGCGTACAGCAGCTTTAATCCAGTATGAGGGGTTTCCTGGGGATATAATGACTGAAGAGCAGCTGCATGTCGAGGCTTTATGTCCTTGTTTCATTATGCTGCAGAAGAGCAATTAGTGACTTGGAACTACTTCATCCTCTGCTCCCGTTCTGATCCTCAGAGGTCGGCGGGGCTCCTAAAGATAGCTCACCCACTTGACATGGTTGCGTATGACTTCCTCAGCGAAGGGAAGCCCTCCATTGACATTTATGTAAATGAATGAAACTTTGACTTTAGCCGACTGCAGACGTCTCTTCTGCAGTTACCTGCGATGTCTTCTGTGTTGCAGAGATAACAAGGTTAGGGAAGGGAATGGAGTACATTTATAATTCACATTTGATACAGTTAATGCATTCAGACCTTTTCCAGTGGGAGAATACATTAGGAGAGTGAGTGGATATAGGAAGCTATAGTAGACTGTCATTAGGGGTTTCCTCATCACGGTATTTATAGGCCTGTTTTACATTCTCATGGTTAGTGGATGGAGCGGGATCCTAGAGCTGGAGCCACTTACTGAAGCCAGAGTCTTACTACTGCACTGTGCCTCCATACACCTACTCTACCCCTGCTCACCATTAACCAGCTGTCTGCTAGCTGTTTATCTGGAGGTGTGTCTGCTCGCCTGCATGCTACCACTCCTGCTAACTGTGTCTTAGCAGCCTGCAGAGGCTAGAAATGAGCTTGTTCACATCGTAACGTGTGTGGTTTTTGATTCCTGCAGTCAGAGTGTGCCGTATCAAGGCCTGCTGATTGCATAACAGTTATTCTTGGTAAATTTTGACAGACACTGGCACATTATCTCGTGAAACGCTTGTTTTCAAGGAGCCTTCGTGAGCCAAGTAGCCATGGTAACTGCTGAAAACTTTCTCATGTTTGTAGTTTACACAAGAGGGCCCGAACTCTAGCTTGTTAACGCTGCTTAAGCACACTCAGATGTGATGTTTACTGGGGGTCCCAATAATCTGGGCTGTAATTTGTTAATGGACTCAGGCAGACTAGAAAGAGGAGTGTAAGAGCTTGCAGTTTTATCAGCAGATGGTTTTCGGTGCAGATAGATAGATTTCCTGCTTTTCTTCCTGACTCTCTGGACACAGAAACCAGCTCCCCGCTGTTGTTGGCAACTGTCTCCAGGAAGTGTCTCCCCTCTGCTCCGCACTGCTCGCTTTTCTGCTGCGTGTAAACAAGCTCTTTTATTCATTGTCTGGGCCCGGAGGGAGGAGGCGGGGTGGAGGAGGGGGGGGTGGAGGTGCTGTGGGGACACAGAGAGAGAGAGCGAGAGAGAGAGAGCGAGAGAGAGAGGTGAAGTCAGTATTCAGGAATGCGCCTGGGCAAGCCTCGGGTTGACAGAGCCCAGATGACTGAGGGAATCCTTGGCAGAGGGAAGCCGGGGAACCCCGTTCAACACCTCCAGCCTTTTCCCTCCTTCCCTCCCTCTCTCTCTCTCTTTTCCTCCCCCCCTCTCTCTCTCTCTCTCTCTCTTTCCCCTTTTGTCTGCCTTGTCCTTTCAGTCAGTCCATCTTTGTCTCCAGCGCTGGAGTCGCAGCCAGCCTGTCTGCCATAAAAACATTATACAACCAGGGAGGCACAGTAATGGGGAAACAGGCTTATGTCAGACTGGTGGAGCATGGAAAACAGCAGAACCCACTTCTCCACATTTCTGCTGCTGCTGGCAGAGTGCAGCCAAAAGTCCCCTGTGAGTTCAACGGTGTCCAACCTGAACTCTGAAAACCCTCCAGACAGCAAGTTTGAAAAAGCCATTCACAATGACTCATCAGCTATTCTTACACAGGCTGAGGGTGGTCATTGGAGGAGTCGAGAGACGGCCTCTGCACAAGGTTCAGTCTTCCAAAGAGGGTTGTTTTCTAATAGATTATGCAAAACTAATAATATTCAGCAGCTCATGTGCAAGTTTGACTGGAGGTATTGTCAAATCAAAGTGGGTTTTTTGCATATTACAGCTTGTTGCACTGCAACAATCCGTCTCGCTTCCCCTGGTTTTATTACAAACCAAATTAAGAAAATGATTCTTCCTGAAGTTATCAAACAACATTTTGTCATGGCCTTTCTAAATATACATTTTGAAGCTGCCGAGAAGTCATGATGTGAATTAATTTCTCTTTCCGCCAGTGGCATGTATAATGTGAGTGGTTGGCTGGAGGGCTTTTTGTTTTTGGAAGGAGGCTCACGTCATGGCCCTTCCTCTTTCCAGCCCCTCTCTCCACAGGGTCATGTTTGATACTCGTGTAGTGCGGTGTGGTCAAAACATGCAGAGAAACACGAGGTTTCCACTGCTTCAAGGCGAAAACCCAACTTTTCCACAAAGAAATCAAACCAATGCTTTGATGGCGGAGAAATTCCCGAAATCGAGCAGAAAATTAGCAGATAGATGGATCTTGTTGGTTACATTGGACCTGTTCGGCCATGGCTTTGCGTTGGATTTGATGAAGACCTGACAAATGCAGTGACTAAGCATGCCTGTGTCTCATTGTGGTGACACTGATCAACAGTACTTGTCAATTGGAATGTTTTTAGAATATGACTGATGTGTTTTCTACTCACACCCGTGACTCATATGTGTGGTGGGTGTTGTGTTCTGGTAATCAAATCAGAGTGGATAAGATGCTCAGCTTGTCTCAAAATGCCAAAAAACACAGCTTTTCTTTTGAAGTGACAAATGACAAGATGATGAGAAAGAAAAGAGCAACGTGCTGGGATTCTTGGGTCTCTTTTTGTGGGAGCTTACCCACATACTGATGCAAATAAAGGGGAGGGGGTTTAGTGCTCTGATGGCTGTGACTGAGAAATAAAGTCCAACAGTTTAGAGTCTGCAGCATGAATGTCAAAGACATTACCTAGAGTGACCTGGACAAGCGAACAAAGATTACCTTTATTCTCAAATCCACCTCAGATAAGGCTCCAGCTATTGATTATTTTCATTGTTTAATCTTTCAATTATTTTCTCAATTAATTAATAATGAAGCAGCATTCCCAGAGCCCAATGTGATGTCTTCAAATTGTTTTGTTTTTTTTCCCGACTAACAATCCAAACTAAAATTTTACATAAAACTGAAAATTCTGCAGATTTTCACATCTATCTACCAAACATTTCAGCACTGTTCTTGGTTTGTGTGCGTGCATGTTAAGACTACAGTACAGTACCTGCAATAAAATAAAACCTTTGGAATTTCATGGTGATTTATTTAAAAAAATAAAGTGAGTAATATGGGACTGAGAGCGGAAACAATTAGTCTATTACTCACTTAGTCGATCAACAGAAAGATGTACATTTTTTTGATAATCAGTTTATTGTTCTAGTTAATTTTTTGTGCAAAAATGCCCAATCTTCACTACTTCCTGTCTCTTATTTGAATATTTTTAGTTTTGTTATGATATTAAACAAAATGTTTGTCTTTCTTTTGGCCAGTTTGTCAGACAAAACAAGCAATTTGAACACAGCTTTTCTGTTTTCTCACTTTTTATGGACCAAATGGTTAATCGAGAAAATAATCTGTTGCAGCCATAAAAGTGATATGATCGGTTGATGATAATTTATTGATATTCATTGTGAGGAGACACACTCCATCCACTTCATCGTAGATATATTGAGTCCCATCTTACAGGTGATTTGAAAGCATTTATGGGCGGTGATTTCAGCTAACCCTTACAAGAGCAGAAGATGAGCAGTCAAACTAGTTTCAAAGTCGTTGGTTAGAGCAAGCTGATTGTTATTACAGTATTCAGCATACATTATTTTTCCTGAGAGTCATCATGCAGCGTTAATACTGTAGGCCTGGAGCTACATTAAAAGCACTAAGAAGAGTTGAGAATCCATAAAGGATCAGTTGGATTGGTAGTTATTCATGTCAGTAACAATCCTCAGCTTGAGAACCTTTCTACATCGATAATTTTATCATCATAACCAAGCAGAATGATTCTGCAGAGCCATTTGTACGTGTCCATGCATCTCAAAGTCAGTCTGAGTTGATCAAATGTATTAACTGCTCTTTGTCTTTCTCCCCCACCTTCCTCCCCCACCCTCTCCACTCTCTCCGTCCCCGCCAACTTGATTCCTTTACAACCGCCGTGGTGTGACATCCACAGAGCTCCCAGCTGAAGAAGGTAAATATTGATTTTTCCAGTGAGCTGTGATCCTCCTCCCTTTGCTACCTGATTAAGTGTCTTGAGTCAGGATCCTTTCTTCTCTGTAGACTGAGGGCTAAACTTTGGGAGTGTACACTACTGCACTTTTCCACCCATAGACACACACCACTACTCTTCTGTAAATACAGGGAATGTTTATCTTTACCACCGCTTATCAGTACTATGAAACTAATGTCATCTTATAGATGTTAAGTATAATGGCACACTTTGAGTCCTCAGTAGAAGCCACAGACGTTAAATTAAGTGTGATGCATAAAGGTGTGTGACGTGTATTTGCCTATTTCAGGGAAGTCCCTGTGGGAGCTGGTGGTGGAGCAGTTTGAGGACCTCCTGGTCAGGATCCTGCTGCTAGCTGCCTGTGTCTCCTTTGTAAGTACGACCCAGATAATTAAAATGCCAGTGGCCTTCATCTTATTTGTTCTTGATCTTGATTCTCAAATGTACCCCTGTGGGATTTGAGACCTAAATTGGACATTGGCCAGGAAATTGCCACCTAATAAGACTGCTCCGTTAGCTTTAGGCTACTTTATTCCCTTGTTAGAACACTGCTCAACCTAGTTAGTGGTCTCCTTTCATGTGGAAACAAGTGTATTACAGGCTTTTCCATCCAGTGTTGATATGGTTTCAGCAAGGGGAACAGGCAGAGTATTTCTGCCGAACTGGAAACAAAACTATCAATCAAAACTCCCTCTGCTGCAGCGTCTCAAACTGTGACCCCGGTCGCAGTCAGAGGGTGGTGAAGGTCGGAGAGGGGTGGAGCAGGAGGAATCCTGACTGCATAATAACTTTTTTCCATCTATTACTGCACGTCCCCGGTGTCTCGGGATGGAATTGCTGTTGCTATTTCTGAAAGTAGGAAAATTGCTCTAAAAATGTATATGACACAATATATCTTCCCTGAATGTTGTCGTGTTAGTGAGAGGCTCTCGGAGCAGGCGTGGGCTGTAACTGCATGACTCTGGAACGTGGGCTCACTTTTCCTCATGTAAATCAGGCTTTCCTAACTTTAAAAAGGTTGTTTATAGTGGAACACGGCCCCTGTTCCACAGCCGCACAGACCCTCATGCTTTACAATGTCATCGTTGCCTGGAGAGGTTTCAGCCTAACTAAAGTGAGGTTCCTTGTGACTCAAAATCACAAATATATTACAGTCTAGAGCAGCTTGTCTTAATCACGCACATTTACAGAGCTTGTCTGTTGATAAATGATATTTCTTTAGTCCTTCTTTAACTTATTTGCTTACAGTTTTGTGTGTCACCAGTATAAACTGGAGTGAAAGTTAAACCATAGCCTTGGACTTATTTGGCTGATCTTTTGAATATATTCAAACTGAGATGATTAGACTCTCCTGCCTCTTTTGCATGGCACAAGACTGAAGCTTATTATCAGACAAAACAGGGAAGGTTAGGCTACTTTATGATATATGTACATATGACAACAACAAATTTACAGCAAAAAAAGCAAAGCACATTGTTTATGAATTAAATCCACTCAAGCTATAGCCTGAACTGTGCCTCAGCTGAACCATTTTATTATTTATTTTTATAATTTGTCTGTTTTTCTGAGGCTACAAGCTGATAGTGAGCCGGCTCTCTGGTAGGGGTTTAATAGAGCAGAGGCCCATACAGAAAGCCACACTAGCCACCTGAAACAATCAGTGCACTTCCTCCCTTTCAGCTGAAGGAAGAGAGAGGGCTGATCTTTTATTTGGTTTTCCACATCACTAGATCAAGTTGAGCTAGTGTTGGGCAGGTCAAGAGCGTACAGGAAGGGACTTAAAAAGTCAAGTGACAGTTGAATTGGATTTTCAAGCCTCCTGTGTTTACATCACATTTTTGAATAGGTGACCTTAGGAGTGTTTCTTCTGATGAATTTGATATGAATAAAATGTGTTTTTCCATTTTGCCGAGCGCCGTGTGATGTTCCAAAACTCTGGAGACGTTCAGATATAATGGGCCATCTGTCGGCATGTGTCTCAGCGTTCAGTTATGCATGTGGGGTGTGAGGAGTGCAGTGTTTAAAGCTGTAAAGAGAGGTTTATTTTGGTGATGAAGCTTTGATTTCAAAACCCAACGTTGAATCTAAGCCTAATTTTGCATCAGATTGCCAAATGCGAGCAGTTAAATTTCCCCCAGATTCTCTCCATTTGAACTCCTATTCAGCAAGAAAGTAGGAGTTAGGTATTCAAACCCACTCTGAATGAGTGCTGATTGTGTGAAGTGTCTTGAGTCGTCCTCACTGAGAGGACTGCCATTGTTGCCATCCAATCTCTGCCCCGTCAGAAGGGAGATTTACCGTCCCAAATGATGTGGAATGATGAGCTATCGACCAGGCTCAGGCTGCTGTGGCGTACACTCCAGTGCTCAATACTCTCGCAGAGAATATACTCTTTTATCATTTGATAAGCCCCATCAGATCATGGAAAAGTAGCTCCACTTTATCTCCCCTTCTCTCTCTGCTGCCTTTGTTGTGCAGACATTTTAGTTTCTATCTGTTATTGATAAAATAATGGAAACATAAATATGAAATCATTTCTGTGTTGCAGTGGGGAGCTTTTTCTGTTGTAATCTTCTAAAAATGTACTTCAGTGCTTATTATACTAGCTAGCATTAAGTAACTGACTGTTATCCCTATATCTGGCTATAGAGAAGTGGGGAAGTATAGTTACATAAAAGTGGTTGCAGTATATTTGTTGTATATCACTTTTTTTATATTAACAATTGATCACATGACTACTTGTAACTGAAGCTGTACAGTAAGCAGCTACTTTGTGAATGAAACCTCTAAAAACCGACTGTACGCTGCCTGCCCAGAACCAAAAGTTAGCAAAAGTCAGCAATATGAAGTTAGCAACTAACTAGTGAACATAGTGGAGAACTTAGCAGTAAGTGGGCCAGATATGTTTCTCAGAAGTTCACAAAAACAGAGCTTCAACAGGAAGGTGAAAATTGGACTTGCATTCACTAAGGTGGCCAGAAACTCGACTCCAGATGAATGCTAATGTTGCTCTGTATTCTGCTCAATGTGTAAAGAAGTAATGTTCGCTATATTAATGATAATATGTCTTGTTTTGTTAACAGCTTGTTTCTTCTGCCCTCAAGTGGCCAAAATGTTATTGCAGGTTTAGTTCTTGTGCGGTCAGTTTTAATCACGTCATAATTTAACTATGACATTAGTGAGTTGGTTCAATTATCACTACTAGATTGACGTCTCTCAGATCAAAAATAAAAAAGGAGTGATTGTTGTGCTTTGAGTCTATAATGCCAGAATAGGCATGAACAGCTGAATCAAGTAAATTGTTCTCATTCTGCGTTGCAGAATAAAAGAGGAATGTGTAACCAACTCAATGTCCAGAAGCTGAAGTGCAAAAACCAAAAATGACTAGGTCACTTGAACAGAATGATCACTTCAGATTAGTTTAAGCAGTGGTAAGATTGAAGACTCTTTAGGTAATTATTTAATTAATGAGTTTCTTTTTTAAAGCAAATTTCAGTCTCGCTGTTTTAGCTGTTGACTGTCTTGTCATTCAACCCACTCAAGCCTCATGTTCTGGTACACAGTCATCCGAAAAGACACTGCACCATAGAAAGAAGTAGATCCCACAAATCCTTATGTAAATGTTAATTTGTGTGTGATTTTCCTACAATCCAAGGGCTTGGGTGTACTGGGTCTAAACCGTACTACAAAATGCACTACTGCAAAACTGGGCTTCGTAATAATGAAAGTGTTTAAAATTAGTCCAGTTCCAGTGTAATCCCAATGATTTTATTTCCCCAATGATCTAATTTCCTGCAGGATTTAATTTATTTTTATTGCACTTGTCATTTTAGGCATCGTCCTGCTGCTCTAGGCTATCCAACATATGAGGGTTTCGTCATTACATTTAGGGTTTATATGAGAGTAGTTGTTTTTTTGAGACTCTATTATATTCAGTTTATTTATTTATAATGTTGTTTTAAAGCACACCCTTCATTTTCTTTAATTTAGTGTCAAGTAGAGTGTCAATGAACTTGCAAAAAGGAAAACTTACAAACTAAAATGAATGACAGTGTACTGAGTGGAGAGAGAAATGGATATGAGACTAATTAGGACTGCATCATTTAGGCTAATTATATTTGTTATGAATGTCCACAGTCACTGTTAGAAGACAAACCAGCTTTTCCTGCTCGATGTGAGAAATGTTAGCTTTTCTTGTGTTGTCACTGCACTCTGCAGTATCTTGCCTTTGCAGTCACTTCCAGCCTGAAATGTGTGCAGCCTGCAGAGGCACGGGCCTGGACCCTCTGGCCATTTACAAGCCTTTCTGTTTCGAGTGCTAGTGAAAAGAGCAGGCCATGAGTATCTCTCCTGATTTCAGCCACACTTTATCACCTGCTCTTGGCTGTGGAGGTCAGAGGTTTACTGCAGTCTATAGACCAGCCATTCATAACCAGAGCTACTCGTACCACAGTACTTTGGCAGTGGCCAGCGGGTACATAGGAAGATTGAGAGCAGCTCAACTAATTTGAAAAAAACAAACAAGCTAAAATTACAATTTAAAATTAGAAAATATATCTACATGCTGTATTGAGTCGTCTTAAATTGAAATAGATAGCTGAAAGTTATTCTTGAATTGTTGAAACAGGTAAAAATAATGAATAAATAGTTGAACTTATTAACCAAAAGCATAAATTGTTGAAATAGACAGCTAAAAATAAGCTAATGGATAAATGGTTGGAATAGTTAGCTAAAAGTAGGCTGATGTTAATGGATAAATAATTCACCAAAAGTAATGTATAAATAGTTTAAATAATTAGCTAAAAGTTGGCTAATGTATGAATAGTTTAACTTATTAACCAAAGATAATTGATAAATGATTGAAATAAATGGTCAAATGTAAGCTAACGGTTAATGGATATATTGTTTAAATAGGTAACCTTAGCTAATAGTCATGGATGAAAGAGAAATAGTGGAAATAGCTAAAAGTAGCTAAAATCACTCAAAGTCATATTAGGACTAGTAGTAGTTGTAGAAGGGGTATTGAGTTCTATCTGTGTAGTCTGTAGGGGAACAAGTTGGGAACCATTAAAGGTTGTTTTTCCATATTTTCTGCAACAACATTCAAGCATCTTTCCTCCCAAACATGTTTCAGAGCAAGCTATTACTGAAAATGTATATAATTGAGTCAACATGTGTATGTTCATCTAGGTGTTGGCTCTGTTTGAGGAGGGAGAGGAGACAACCACCGCCTTTGTTGAGCCAGTTGTCATTCTTCTTATCCTTATCGCCAACGCTGTTATCGGGGTCTGGCAGGTGAGATACACTCTTCATCCTGCGTCTCTGTGTAAAGTGTATACATACACATGAGTAATGTTTCTTTCCACAAGGTGTTCACCTGGTTACAGAGACTAACGATGCCGAAGAAGACAGTAAAGTCAAAATATTTTATCCTGTCCGCCAGCTGTTGCAGGATACATGGATTCATTCACCTTTAGTGTCTTGTTATCTGTGTGCTCTATTCAAACTGACACAATGAGTTAACATCTGTACATCCAAATGGCACATTGCAATGGGATGAGGCGGTCGACGCCGGAGAACTTTAGTCTGTGCGTCAAGTCAAAGCATAAACAAACCAGGGAGCTCATGCAAAAATACCTCTTGGTTCATTTGTGTTGACAAGGAAGCAGGAATTTTTGATGCAAGCGTCCAAAATAGAGACGGGGAGACCATCAGCAATTTGGGAAAGAAGGCGCGTTGCCCTGCTGCGTTGGGACACAGTGTAACAAGCAAACAAATCAACATAAGCGACTTTTCTCTTTTAGTGTGTTTGCCTTGAGACAGAATAACCTGTTAATGCAAGAAAACATTGAATACAATTTATTGTGAAAAAATTATCCTTGTCCTTGTCCTGACTTTCTCTTTCTGACATCTCTCTACACAGGAAAGGAATGCTGAAAATGCCATCGAGGCTCTGAAAGAGTATGAACCAGAGATGGGAAAGGTGTACCGCATGAACCGCAAGGCTGTCCAGAGGATCAAAGCCAGAGACATTGTCCCAGGAGACATAGTGGAGGTGGCAGGTAAGCTGTGGCGGCACCCAGCGAAAGTCTAGCTGTCACTCAATGAGACTAATTTATGCTTTGACTACCTCCAGAGGACTCTCGCTGCTGTCACCTAGCTGCCTGTATGCTACCATTATTGCCGACATGCACAGAAACAAGCTCACACAGCCTTTGCCACCCATTCATGAGTCTGGAAACACTATTGGAATATCTCAAACTCGATTACATAAGAGTCTTTTCTCTGGGTGTGCAGGTGCCAGGGCTGCTACCCAGTTGTGTCTGTTTATGTGTGTGTGTGAGGTTCTGTGTAAGTGGCTGTGGTCTCCCCTTGTATTTAAGGCCCAGTTTGATTTTCCACAGCTTTTCCCCTTTTCCCTTTGCTTTCCATGCTCTCAGTCTCACCACCTGGACGCTGCTGGATGTTTGTCAGCTCCTCACTCACACTCCCCCACGTTACATGCACATACACACAATTCCCCTGCTGTAAACTCGCCCATGTGTGGGCAGCCTCGTCTAAAAATAGTCTTGTTGTCACTCTGGTTCCAGAACATCTGTGTATGCCAGAGTTGATGTGCGAGCGCACACACATGCAGCGCCAAGGAGATCACTTCACCATCAACATGACCGGTTCTGAGAGGGTAATCCTTGGCTTTGTGGGGCTAGTGATTCGTCTGAGACGGCTCGGAGTGATGTGTGGGAAAGAAGGGAGAGCTCAGGGTGTGGAGAGAGAGAGAGAGAGAGAGAGAGAGAGAGAGAGAGAGAGAGAGAGAGAGAGAGAGAGAGAGAGAGAGAGAGAGAGAGAGAGAGAGAGAGAGAGAGAGAGAGAGAGAGAGCTATCACAGCGTTCATTCATAATCACAGCACGGAGAGTAAAGGAGAGATACATGCGTCGATATGAGCACATGGTTTCAAAAATGAAAATGAAATCATCCATCCAAAGTAACTATCAGGGAGATCTTCTCCACCCTCAATTTTACTGAATAGTTTCCTCTTCATTTTAAAGATAAACTAGTTTACATCACTTGCGTGGGAACATGTGAAATACATCTCATGTGTCTGTGTGTGCGTGTTTATGTGGAAGGTAGCACTTCCTTGGAATTTGGGCTTGTTACAGCCGGTGTCCTCAATCACAAATGCGTGCGCACACAGCTAGACGCAGGCAAGCCCACACAGGTACCAAGCACCAAAATGACTCTACCCCTACCTACCACCACTACCATCACCGTCACTGTCAACACCAACGGTGTCACCATGACAACGCTCTGTGCTCCGTTTGGCTCATCTCTGTGATGCTGAAGTTCATAAGGGTTTGAGGTCTTAACGACACCTGTGATGACAGTGTGGAGACGGATATGACTTAAAATGAGCCATCTGCTGTTTGAATAAGAGATTTGATATTATTGCTGACTGTTAGCAGCTGCTGGTGGGTCCGTGTTGGTTTTCCCATTGTGAGCATGCAACAACACTGTCTATTTTTTTATGTTCAGTGTTTTATTCTTTTTTTAGGGTGCCTTTTTGACAACAGGCCATGGACAATTGATGAAAATTAGATTTCAAAACTAAATCTTTTTGGTCGTTAAATCGTCTACATTATAGTAGACATTATATTTATATTAGGTTTATGATGATGGAGAAAAGGCAGTTAACAGTTAAATTTGTCTCTGTTGTACTGTTGCACTCCCATTTTATCGTACTTCAGAATTGCCGTTAAGTGCCGTATAAGGCATAGAAGGTGAAGATATTTTTTTGAAGCTGGTAGAGATGTCGAGGCACTAGTTATAGCTGGATCTGCAGCTTGTTTTAAGTACATAATGCATTTACTGTCAAAGTTTACTTTAAGAAGAAGTATGAAAGTGGTGTTATGCGCATTACTGCATTTTTGTAAAATGTACACAGTCATATATTACACCCTTCGTTCTGTCTGACATAATCTGGTTGCTAAGCAGTTTTAAACAGGGGTAAACAGCTGAGGTTGGTGCTGCACCACACACTCCTCTCACTTAGGAAATGTGTGTCAGGAATCTTCAAGCACACTCCTCTGACTAAAACATGTAGGGGTATGGTGACAAAGAAAACAAGCAAATATTTTCCTTTCCTCCATTGATTTCCCAGGGTTTCCTGTATTTCAGATTAGCCGATGGTTGTTCCATGGGAACTTGATTCTAGGGGGTAAAATAAACTGTATGGAGGTATCGGAAAAGGACACTGTTGACCACAAGTGCCTTTGAGGACAGAAAAGAACATAAATATATTTACTTAAGTTTCCACCACTGCTGCCCGCCTGCCTTCTTGTAGGTACATTGCCTGTGATGCCAGCCACGGTTACGACACAGTTGTGATTTGCGCCTCCACTGGAACTTTCCTGGGTTTTCTAAATGGGGTGACTGCGGCGGTCAGGTTGTCAGGAACTCCTAGAGGGTTTACACAGGACCTGAAGAGATGGAAACCTGCACCGAGCCATTCCCAGTAATGAGTCACGGTTATCCTGCATGTGAATAAAGACTTCTCTGCCAATATATTATGCAAGACATTCAGATTTTGTTTGCAGTCCAGTTTTTACCAAATGGAAGGAGAACTCCGAACCAGCTGACCTCTTTGTTTTGATGAAATGTGCATGTGCTACGTTCCAGTTTATTCATTAATTCTAAGGTCAATGCTAATTTTTTCTTACTTTTTGATACTCAAACACTTTGAAAAATAGTCAGACAAATTTCTGATATTTAACATTCTGCTGGTATGGTATCATGGCTGGTATTAGGACTTCAATTTCCCTTCTAGCAGATGGAGAACGTCTGTGGGAGGCCGTGGCAGAAAATGGAGGTTCGATAGGGGAGCCGGAGTCTGTGGGTAGGCGTTTGAAATGCCTCTCTTTTCTGCCCTCGGCCAGTCCTGCTACAGTGAACCTGTAGCCCCCAGCCATCTCCCACACAAACACATCACACACTTCTCTCCCCTTCCGACTCTCCCACTCTTGTTCTCTCACAACCCATGGGTGTCAGACGGAGATATGAAGAGAAATATGGACGTGGAAGTACAGGCTATTCAACTACACATATTTTTCATCTCTCCCTCTATCTTTTTCACCATCACTGTCCAGTCAGGAAAGAGACTGAAAAATTCCCCTTGAGTCTCAGACCATTGAGCAAATGTCAAGAGGAGATGATGGAGCTCTGAGAGAAATGGAGAAAGATCAAGAAATGAACACTCAGAAACTCCTCACCAGAAAACCACTTTGAAAAGTTTTCTTTGTGAAGTGTGCTACCGAAGACGTACTGCCTGTTGAGTGTCTTTCAGTATGTGAGCGAGGAAAAGCAGAAATTCTACAAGATGTCCAACCTCATTCATGTTTGAAAAGCCAAGGTAGATTCACTGGGAGTCCTTGTTTTTGTTGCGATTAACGTTGAGAAGCACTGATGGCTGAGGACTCAGAGTTGGCTTTAATGAGGCGCTTTTTACACAAAATAATGATCAGGTCTCTTTTTCTTGTCCGTCAGGCTGGAAAGGAACAAGTGAAGAATATTACATCTGTCTGGAGCAATTTCCTTTTCCTCTGCTATGAGATCATCGCCATCGACTACATCAAACGATCCATTTTTCACAAGCTAGCTCTGTCCTGCTATTATGAAAATATTTCCATTAAAAGTTCATTGTCGGGCTCTGACAAAGAGGAAGCAATATCCATTTTGTTTTGGGGCATTAGATACTTATAATGCTCTGGCTATGAGATACGAGTTTAATATGCAGGCTTAATAAGCAGACTGTAAGACTGGTGGATAAGATGAAATGCATTTTGTAGATTCAATACAGGCTTCATCTGTAGTTTATGTCTGACATATGTAGAGAAGTGGAGTACAAGAGGAACAGAGAGAGAGTTGCAGAGAGTGAAGAGAGAACAAAGGGGAGGGGAAATAATCAATCATTTTAAAACAGCAACGTGACTCCATCAAGGTTATATTGAGCCGTTGTTTACCTGTGGCTGCAGCCTGAGCCTGGGCTAAATCTGCCGATGTTTCTTTGCTCAAGGATTTATTGTTTGAACACAGACATTCGATAGGGTGTAGCTGAGTGTTCACCTGCAGCTACACTTACAAGCATAAGCCAAACCTTCAGAGGGCAAACACATTAGAAGTATATATTGTCCTCTTCACTGTCTTGTTTCCTTCATACTATTGTCAGATCGGTCTTCTGGTAATATGACCGTGCTCGCAGCGTAGCTCTATGGATTACAATGTAGTTTGTCAGTCAGCCCACCGCTTTAGTTCAGACTAAATCATCTCAACACCTACTTGGTGGATTGCCATGGAATTCGGTACAGAAATTCAGGGTCCCCTGATGATTTGAATTACTTTGGTGATCCTATGACCTTTCCTCTACTATTGTAAGTAGGCTGACATTGGTAGTTGAGAGTAAAATATCCTGAGAACTACTGGATGGATTGCAAACATATTAACAGATGTTCAAGGTCTCTAGAAGATAATGACTTTAGTGATCTTACCTTTTCTCCACTGCCACCAGCAGGGCAACCTTTTTACTTATTTAATGAAATAGCTTGACATCTACTTGATGGATTGAAACAAAATTTTGGACAGATATTCATGGTTACCAGATGATGTATCATAATGGGTTTTTTTGGTGGGTCCCTGAGTGAAATTTCTCAGTAACTACTGAATGAATTGCCCTAGAGTAATTGTAACCATATGACCACCTGACTTCACAGGGGTTCATCATCCACCATCAGGTCATTTCAATTTTCAGTTTGTCCAATACTTGAATTTATGAACAAATACCTGCAAAACTAATAACATTCCCACATCAGCTGTACTTTGCATTGTCACTGTGAGTGTGAAGCATACAGTACTGACATGGGCACATTCCTACATTCATCTTTAGTCATTTTTGTTGTTGTTGTTGTTTGTTTTTTTAAGTTGGTGACAAGGTGCCTGCTGACATCAGAGTGACCTCTATAAAGTCCACCACCCTGCGAGTGGACCAGTCCATCCTCACAGGTATTGCATCAGACACCAGACAGTACTGCTTGAAGGTTTTCACATATCCCACATTGAGTATGCTCCCTTGCTCCTTTTATTGCATGAACTTAGAAGAGCGTTCTACAATCTAATTATATATATATATATAATTTTAGTCTTTTTGATATTGTTTGTGATTGTACTTTCTACCCCTTTAGGCTGTGAGTATAACTTGGTTCGGCTCGGTCACTGTTGAAACATCTCATTGTTGGTCTTATAGTCACCTGTCGCACTTACAGATCTAATCCTGTGCAATTGTCTCGTACAATCTTTTCTTCAGGGGAGTCTGTGTCCATCATCAAACACACTGACCCTGTTCCTGACCCCAGAGCTGTCAACCAGGACAAAAAGAACATGCTGTTTTCTGTAAGCACCCCTGCAGCTTTCTGAGTCATATTTATCTTCTGCCTTCATATCAGGAATTGATATAAAGCTATACAACCCTAACACATAGTTTAACGTAGTTAGTGCAATTCTCATAGAGGTTATCACTGTTTATGATTTGATCCAAAATCTCTTCTTTTATGTTCGGCAAATGTCTTCAAATTAGTTTATAGCCGATTTGTTCAAAGAGATGATAATAACGTTTTTTCTGCTTCACTTTTGCACTAATTTCTCTCTCTCTTTTTCCCACAGGGCACAAACATTGCAGCAGGCCGTGCCATAGGTGTTGTCGTTGCTACCGGCGTGGCCACTGAGATCGGTAAGATCCGTAATCAGATGGCCTCTACAGAACAAGAGAAGACGCCGCTGCAACAGAAGCTGGATGAGTTTGGCCAGCAGCTCTCCAAGGTCATCTCCCTGATCTGCGTGGCGGTGTGGGTCATCAACATTGGCCACTTCGGAGACCCCGTCCATGGTGGCTCTTGGGTCAGGGGGGCGATCTATTATTTTAAGATTGCTGTGGCCCTGGCCGTGGCCGCCATCCCCGAAGGGCTGCCTGCTGTCATTACCACTTGCCTGGCCCTCGGCACGCGTCGCATGGCAAAGAAGAACGCCATTGTTCGCAGCCTGCCCTCAGTGGAGACCCTGGGCTGTACGTCTGTTATCTGCTCCGACAAGACGGGCACCCTCACCACCAACCAGATGTCCGTCTGCAGAGTAAGTGGCAAGCAGGAAAAACTAAAATTCTTGTTGAATGTGAGGCTGGTTGGACAGTTTATCCTAGAGATCAACATATATTACTTCATTCCTCCAACACAGCTGAACTGGTTCAGAGCAGAAACCGATTCTTAGGTATTTAATTTACCCATGACACTTAATAAAAAGCCTCTGGGGATTTTCTTTGAAAAGTGTTATGGAGGTGAATTCTACAAGATGAGTTCTTTTTTTTCCATCCAAGTGGGGCTTTAAGATGGAATATCCTTGTAGTGTGGTACTGTTTACTTCCATTTGGCAGGTTTGTTATTGCTGCTGGCGGAGTAGCACAGGCTGGCATGACCCAGCAGCACCCAAAGCGCTACAATATATCACAAGATCAGCTCACACATAGTCACCCTTGTCTCATTGCCTAAATAAACACAATACAGTAATCCATATCCTGAATTGTTCTGTAGGTTTCAGTGAATAAATGATCTATATATAATTACATCAGACAACAAACACTGAAAGATCTTATCCACAGCCATTCACAAGTAGCACACAGCCTCACCCATTCCTTTGTCTGTGTGTGTGTGTGTGTGTGTGCGTGCGTGCGTGCGTGCGCGTGTGTGTTGCTGGCTAGCCGTCTTTGCTCCAAGCACAGAGTAAATGCCAGCACTGCTGTTTGTCTTGGCCCCTGTTAGGGGTTTTCTTGACACACACACACACACACACACACACACACACACACACACACGATCTCAGTTAACACCTCTTGTCCTTACATTCTCAATCTCACCCCTAACCCTCAGCTAATGACCTCAGAAGTAGTTGCCAGTATGAGTAGAGCAGCTATAAAGCTATGTCCAGACAAAACTATTAAGTCACGCTTTAGTTTACTGATAACGGAAAGGAGAGTTATTACTATAAAAACCTGGACAATTAGTTATTCATTAATGATTAAGTATTGATTTTAAAGGTACTATAATTTAACAAAAAAAAAAGAATCGAGTATTTCATATCAATCAATAGGTTTCTTAAAAAAACATTTTGATGTCTACAGTAAAGGTCACAGGTCCAAAATCTCCCCCATCAGAAATTGACCCATGCATAAATTAACTTTCAAAAATGAGAGACCCAATCCGAATAGACCTGAGATGATTAGACTTCATCCAAAACTGCAGATAAACTGAACTGCTGCTAGTACAGACAGAACAGCAACACTGGCAGCAGCTTGATATGCTACCAATAAACAAGCGGGTATATAGTCATCATTATACAAAACAAGTTTTGTATAACAAAATGAATGAATGAATGAATGAATGAATGAATGAATGAATGAATGAATGAATAATATGTTCCAAGAATTTATGTGAATTCAGAAAATTAATTAAAAAAATGATTGATTTTCTTTAAAAAATAATTTACAGACATAATTGAAAGTCCTGTTTTCACGTCCTGCACCGACAATAAAACATTCTGTTTCCAACTTTGGAAGTGACAGAAGATACCAACTTAATATCTGTGAATAAAAATGCTCATTCTTTTTAAAGTATATTTTTTGGGCTTTTTTTGCCTTTATTATAGTGACAGCTGAAGATAGACAGGAAAGGGGGTCAGAGAGAGGGGATAACACGCAGCAAAGGGCCACAGGTCAGATTCGAACCCTGGGCCGCTGCAGCAAGGACTCAGCCTCAGTATGTGGGTTGACAGCTCTACCCACTGAGCTATCCGGGCGCCCAAAATGGTCATTTTTAAGCATGAATGTTTTACATAGGCAACATTTTTCCTGTGGTGATTACACCACATGATCAGAGCTGATGCTGTCAACTCTCTGATCCATTTGGATGCACTCAGATATTAGACAAATTAACACACAGTCCCGTAGCAGAAAAACAAGACCTGACCCGATTTAGAATGAGGATAGTTTCCAGTTACAGGTTGGATCTCGTTTTTTTCAGGACCCATAAAAAGACCTCTAGTCTAGAATTGATTTTGCTTCTACTGAAGCCAGAGGAAAAGGGCATTGAGCCTGAGTTGTGCTTAGGTGGGCTGAGTGGCACAGCTGAATGGGATAGCCTGAGACATCTGTCAATTAGTTGAAATACACACCCCTGAATGGTGGTCAGTGTTACCACAGCTGATAAATGTGGGACAATGGTAAATGCTAAAGACTGTAGTTAAGGCATAAGCTTCTCGTCCTGCAGACTGCATGTATTGCTATGGCTGTGTTTGCACATGCAGTCAGGAGAAAAAGTATTTGACTTCTTTGTCTGTGTACATGCATTTTATTTTCTTGCTGTTCAAATTGGAGCTGCCGTCAGAGTGCTGAGCATATCCTTGTACGGCAGACACTCATGTTCTTGCTATATGAACGCTCCTCCCTTCCCTGGCCCCTTGAGATGACGTGGAGTGTCTGTGTGATTAATGCGTAGCAGCAGGGAGTTCCCTCTAGTAGGAGGGTGAATGATCTCACCGCAACCCTGTAACCCTCCCAGACAGAAAAAGAGCGAGGCAGGCTGACGCTGGTAAATATTGACCTTCTGCCTCCACCTATACTCCCTGGCCTGCTGCTCTCGGCTCTCTGGAGGGAGATAAGGGGGCACATACACACTCATACTCTCACACAGACAAATCAAACTTCCGCTTCACAGTTTTTATCGTCGTGGTGTTTCCTGGAGACAGTAATTTTCATGCTTGCTTAACTCGTTGTGTGCTCTGACCACTCTGTTTTTATGGTTTTTGTGCGTCAAGGTTTAAATGCCCACATGAATGTTTGCCCAGGCTTATCCATCTGTGCTTATTCGTGGACTGATCTCCAGCCAGTGGCCCTGTTCGCACCATGTGTCTCCCTTGCCTCGGGGGTATCCCCATATCCGCAGGATTTCCAGGGATTCCCCTCCGTATCCTGACACTGTACTTCCCTTTTCCCTTCAAACACACACACACACACACACACACGAAGAAACACGCACACATGCACACATAAAATGGGTTACTCGTCATTCATCCCCACACAAGCTCAGAGGAAGTGAGTACAAGAAAACAAATGTGTGCCACTACCACTGAGTCACATGAATCACACTGGGCCTTGTTTCCTTGGAGACCACTGCAGATCAGATAGTGAGGGAAAAGTGACCACAGATAAAAGAACAACCTTATTTTATTCCCTAGACCCTGCTTTGTGAGTGCTGTATGTGCTTTTGTGGAAGTTAACTATTAACCTGTTAAGCACAACTCCTTTTTTTGCACAATACCTTGAAACATTGCACATGTACAGTTATACACAGGCTTAATCATATTCCACTTTAATGTATATAGTCTATATAGTTTTTATATTTTATTTTATTGTATTTTATTCTTTCTCTACTCTTTGCACTACATTCCCTGTGCTGCTGTGCCAAATTTGAGTTTAATAAAAGAACGTCTTATCTCTTAAATGAAAGGGTCCCTGAGTAGTCAGTGTTAATCTGTTGTAGAATAGTGGAACTGAGCCTGATGATGAGATGAAAAACACTGAACAAAAGTATAGGAAATTATGGGTCCTATATAGACCTGTCCTGTTTGAGCCCATATTTCCGTGAACATTTTGATGTCATGTACCCAGGCTCCCTTTGCTCTTGCAGGTTTTAGCTTTAATTATAAAGCAGAGTAGAAGAAAGCAGTGGTTTACAGTCTAAAAAGCTAATCCATTGTATCTAATGGGGCTTTTTTGAACTCAAAGTTACTCATGTTCTGTCATGGTTGATTTGGCGACACCCAGGGTTAGTCCTGGCAACAGCAAGTGCGGTTTATTACTACTGTAAACACTCTTGAGCAACAACTTCATCAGAAATACAACAGAGGAACAACTGGTCTGTCTGTTTACATTGCAGCCAAACAATCTCACATTGTTTTAATAAAGAAGTCAGACAGTAATTAGTATTTTGCTATCATATCATGAGTGAAATTTTCTACACAGCAGTAATGCACACAGTGAAGTTGGAGGTGTTGCCTACAGCTCTTCATCTCACTATGTCTGCTCCTGCCTGTTCCACTACTTCCTGCAATATTTAATACTGATCCGCTGTCAATTTATTTGTAGATGCATTTTTGATGAACGATCACAGTCAGTGCATTGTGTTTTCTTTGACTGCTTCACAATATAAGCCCATGTTTTAGCAGCTGTTTGTTTTAATGTGAACCCATGACCCCATGACCCAAGGGGTAACATGTGAGCTGCATGCCCCCACTGAGCCCGCTGTGTTAGTTTTGTTAGAAGTTAAGAAATATTAAATATTTAAGATAATAAAATCCTGTCATCTGAATTTTCAGCCTTAAAATTTCATAAAATGTCTTAGGTTTGATTTTGACAGCATAAACATTTACTGGATTAATTAATTTAACGTTACTTGTATAAAGTTGTATTTGTCAGTCTCGCTTTTAAATGTGTTTTTGGGAAAATTGTATATTGATCATGCTGTAACAACTACATAACAAAGCCAGCATGGAACCAATATCGATTTTGCTTTATATCCTTTGTACTTTTTTTTGCCACTATAGATGTAAAATAGATTGCATTCATAATTAAAAATGTCTTAATTTAACCAGTTAAAACTTCCAGAAACCACCTTTAGCAATGAAAACTACTACAGTATGTAAAGAGGTAATTAAAGAAGGTATATCCGTACAATGGCTATTGCTGAAGAAATAGGCTTTTATTTAATTCAATCTTAAGGATTATAACGTTTAACAGACTTGCTTCTGAAATTGTCAAATTTTTTTCTCAAAACTGTATTTTCTTATTCAAAACCACAAGCCAGAAAGAAATTCTTGCAATCGTACAGATGAAACAACTACTTCAAACCCCCCACCCCCAAATATCGCCACTGTTTATTGGAGTACAAGAAGGAAAGTGTCAACACTGTTGATGTCAAAAATTACAAATGCAAAATTACATGTTCTCACAAAAGCTATAATCTCTCGGAGGCTATAATCATGATTCAGTATGACAGTTATTTACAACCGACTTTCATCTTGTCCAGACTAGACTACATCAGTCGACTAAATGTAGTAACCCTGTTGCCGCAGAGAGTTGTTAAGGAATAATTACTCCATTAAAAGGCTAAAACATGCCTTTTAAGGCTCATGTGCTAGAGGGACAACAGCTCTCATCTGAAGTCTGCCATCGATTTTGTGTTCCTTTTTATACACACGTGCACACACACACACACACACACACACACACACACACACACACACTGATAGAAGAATCGAAACAAGTTTAACCAAATAGCTGCTTCATTAATTCTTCAATCAGTCAGATTTAATGGGACTCAAACAGAGTTAAGCTAGGTCGTAGGAGTGTTTTTGTGTGTGTGTGTGTTTATTGTTTGCTGAACTTAATTTTCAAGTCATTAAAAAGGCTGAATATTAGTAAAGCAATGGAGGTTCAAGGACAGTCTTTGAACCTATTGTAATTTTGTTTAGTCATTCAGTAGAGGTGTTTGGATGCAGAGAGGGGCCTTGGACTGTGAATGGTAGTGTATCTCATTTTTATAAACCACGAGACACAACACTCCCTTCTTGTTTTTATTCATATATTAGTATTACCAGTGCATCGTGAACTTCCCTTCCTGGGAGAATTTTAGGAGGAAGATTTGCCAACAAAGCAGCCAACAAAGCAAATCGTTGGACAGCTCAGGGACTCCTGCTCTTTCTCCTACCTTCTCTAACTTAGGCTTTGTTTTCCAGCAGTTGACTTGCCAGCGTGTGCATGGCAGTGTGAGTGACTGATGAAGCCTAACCTCAGGACATGTGAACAGTGCAACTCCACTGTTGCCTGCGTGTTTAGAAACACTAAAGAATCTGGGAAACACAGGACAATGCAGTGACTGCTGCTCAAACTGGTTGTCAGTGGGTGGAAAAGCCTTCGGTTGGGGGTGGGTGGATTTTTTGACTCTTGGTCACAGTTTGAACTCCACCTCTCCTGTGACCCTTTTTCCAGCCAGCAGAGTACTTCCTGTTTCCTGTTTTTTGATTTTTTTTTTTTATGAGCTTTTACAACCTTTTATTTATCCGGAACGAGTCAAGAAGTAAGGCAAGAATAATTGTTCTTTTGTTAGCTGCATCCTGCTTCTTAGTATTTACACAATATTCAGACTTCACTGTTTAACTCAAGTGTGTTTTGACACCATGGGGCTATGTGTGAATTAGAAACTGATACCACCATGGCAGTACATCTCTTTTGGCAGTTTGACCGCTCAAGAAATACTAACATCATCACTTCAATTCCTCGTTGGCATGCTGTGACAACAAAAGGTGTTATATTACCTCTGTGCGCACATTCAGCTCAAGGACATGCACACACCTGAGAGCTGCCCATTAAAACCAGTTTACATAAAATTAAACATTTGAAGATTAACTTCTTAAACAATGATTTTCATCTTAACGTGGGACTATGTAACTTGGCGAAGAATAACAAAAACCTTCTTTCTTTTACAAATGAAATGCGTAGATGTTCCAGATATGTGCATCATTTTCCCACATGTAAAGACCCAATAATATTTGACAATGTCAATTACAGATATATCTAGATGTATAATGGAAGAGTTAGACTTGATGATGAAAACCAAGAGCAAATATATGTGTGTGGGTTTGAACAATGCTTGCCCAAGCAACGTGCCCTGTTGTGAATTCACGGGAAGGTCCAATAGGGTTGTAGAGAAGAAAGGAATAGTTTATTCAAAATAAATGTGTACTTGAGTCATTACTGTGACTGTAGTGATGATCTCTGCAGTTTTGACTAATTAGCTAACTACACTGTGTGTGTGTGTGTGTGTGTGTGTGTGTGTGTGTGTGTGTGTGTGTGCCTTTTCTCCTCCCTAGATGTTCGTTGCAGACAAGGTAGAAGATTCAAGCTGCACCCTTCATGAGTTCTCGATAACTGGTTCTACATACGCCCCTGAGGGACAAATGTGAGTGTTATACTTTGAAGATGTTTTACTTTTTGGGGGGAAATCTGTCCACACTAATGGCTCATTATATGAAGCATGCCTGTGTGCTTTTCAAAATTTACAAAAGCTTTTTTCATTGAACTCAGATTGAATTTGATCTCACTCTCTTCCTCGTCCTTGCTTTGATGAAATTCTGAATAGGTTCATTTCAAAATAAAATATAATATCAATAGATGTAGTCAAGCAAACTGTGATGTGGTCTGTAGTCCAAGATGTGTTACATCAGTGCTAATGATTCCTAAAAAATGTTTGTAGCTGTGCTTTATGTGTTGCTATGGCAATTTCTGTGATAATCAGGGAAATGGTTAGTAATCCTGGGTGTTGCATATTGTTATGTGTGCTTAAATACATTCATAGTAACAATCATGTAAAATCATAACACTATTACGCCTCAGCCGAACTTTATTCCTATTGCTAACAGCGTTGAAAAGTGTAGTGTTAACTTGGGCGGATAAACTGAACAACGTTTCAGATTCAATTGAGTGGTCATTTTGATCTCTGCCAGATCAAAAGATTTTATTTATTTATTTCAGTAAGTATGTGCTTGTGGAGGAATATAGGTAGGTTGCGAGTCATTAGGTGGGAGAGAGTCCACAGTTCATTGTGTATGCATGTTGTTTATTTTGCTGTTTGGTGAGTACAGCGTTCTGACTCTGCATGAACCTGTCGATTTCATAACAGCAGAGTGTGGGTTATTGTGTGGGAGCTTCGCTAGCAACGGTTGCAGTCTCTACTGGGAAGAGATCCATGGTTGTCATGCAATCAGCACTGCTTGTCAGGAACACACGCACTCATGCACACGCACGCACACACCACACACTGTTTACTACTGTACAACCACTGTTTCTTCAGTCAACTTTGGAATGCTGAACAACTGAATATTTTCCCCACTCATACATATTGATGAGGTTACTGCGTCTGAGGTGTAGTGAACTATGTTTTTCCCTTGTGTTTTACTGTTGTGAGTGACATTGTGTGTGTCTGTTTGTATTTTCCTTCCAGACTGAAAGGAGACAGGCCCGTCCAGTGTGGAGACTATGATGGGCTTTTGGAGTTGGCCACTGTGTGCTCTATGTGCAATGACTCTTCACTGGACTACAATGAGGTCATTAACATACACACACATGCACACACATACACTCCCTTATTATGTTGGCAAAAGTTGAAAAAAGAAATTCACCAGAGGGCATTAGACATGATTTTAACATGATTTAAAGCATGACCAACAAAACCTAAGAAAATCCCGTCCCCTGTTGGATTCTTGGTTCCCTGTTAGAGACTGTCTTACGACAACCCGGTCCACGGTTAGATAGGTTTTCAAGTGCATACACACACACATACACACACACATGCAGATAATTGTGTAGTTAGAATTGGTTTCCTCTTCTATACCTGACATCCTTTTAAAGTTCCTATACAATGTATATATATATATTCCTATAAACCCATCTGTAACACATTCAGCAATGTGTAGGTTAGGTTTCTTTGCATATATCATCAAGCATTTACAGTATGGATAGTCACACTGCATTGACTCCATAAGAGGTATAACTGGAACACGAACATACACAAACACATAATACAGAAAGACTTCTCTTCTTCAGCTGAGCTAATTTTACTCTGTATGATCTTTTTCTCTGGTTTGGATTGCTTTTCTCACCTCTTTGTCATCACCATGGTATCATGGTAACTATGCTGAGGAGAGAGGCCAGGGATAAGGCACTTCTCAACTCCCATGTATCCTCCCAGCCTCTGTTTTCATAAATGGTCGTTTTTGGGGGCAAAAAAGCCAGAGTCTGAGATCAAACCGTGCTAGAGAGGGAGAGGGAGAGGGAGAGAGAGAGAGAGAGAGAGAGAGGGAGAGAGAGAGAGAGAGAGAGAGAGAGAGAGAGAGAGAGAGGGTGCAGAACCGGAGAGTGCTGCAGGGGAGCGAGGCATTTTGTTGCCGTCTATGTCCAGTCACACAAACAAATGATGTGTGGTACGCCAGCATCTCACCTTCTTCACATCTCAGCTGGCAAGGGCACACACTTAAAAACACTTTGCATGTATGACTCAAAGTTTGCGGAGGCATAGGTGACTGACCAACAGATTTGCTTAGGAGTCATTCTTCTGTCATTCTGAAGAGGGTCGTTCAATTTCACAACAGTGGAGACAGTGTGTTTGTGTAAGCTGTTTCTCCTCAGACTTTATCTAAAATGTGTCAGAATTTAATGACTCAATCACTTTTCAAATGGTTACCGTATCACTTTTATATCACACTTTCTCAATCCAAGAAACCGTACCGCTGCATGTTTTGATGTATTTCTATTCTCTCGTAGGCCAAAGGGGTTTATGAGAAGGTGGGTGAAGCCACAGAGACGGCTCTCACCACCTTAGTGGAGAAGATGAACGTTTTCAAGACTGACGTGTCCGGACTCAGCAAGGTGGAGCGTGCCGGTAGCTGCAACTCGGTAAGATTTTCCACATTAAAGTTTACTTAAAAGTGGTGGGGAGTATTACTGCATTGTGACAAAATTGTATATAGCTTTTTGTGGCTCCAGTGGGGGCCACACAAATGTGATAAAATGATGTCACTTGATGAAGACTACAAGGGAAAAAAAAAAGCCTCTGTAGCCCACTCCTCAGCTCGAGGCTGCATTAGCCGCTACTAGTATAACATAGTACACGTCTGAATTATTTTATACATTTCAGTAAGCATATTGTTTGCTTCAGCAACTGGCATATCTGCTGCAGGCTTTGCAGTTCTCAGCATGAATATGCCAATGAGACTGTAATTACAGCATACTGTACAGTGTCTGGCTGTGCAGATGACATAATGTTCTAGTGTTCTCCATATTTGTGCCAGATGATACATTTAGGTATTACTTTATCCAGAGGGAATTACAACAAGTCAGGTGAGGGTTTAGTGTCTTACTCGTGGGCTATTTAATAAAGCATAAAGTTGTCATTGACACATGTTTGACTTCTGGGTGTGATTGTTTGGTTTTGAATTTAAAACATTTGCACCTTATCACAAATTAAACACCTGATCTTTTTTGAGGAGATGCCAGGTCAGTAGGAAAGTGTCCAGTCTAACTTGTGTGTGAGAGTATGTCCTGGTTCCTTAAGCTGTAGTTGACGTTCCTGTCCTGAGGGGCCTGTTATCCACTGTGCTGAAGTCAGTCACCTCTGGTTCCAAGCCTTTCCCTTCTGTTGTAGATAAAGGTCATTAGAATCCCTGTTGGTCTCTCTTCCAGGAAGAACAAAGCTTGTTGCTTGAGACAAACAAGTCTCAGATGACATGAGCCTTATAGTGATAGAAGTCAGGATAGGACAAGTAGAGAAGCAGAAGTCCCATTTATTGTTTTTAACGGTTAAATGCTGAACAATAATGCATCCTCTGTAAATTTTGGATGAGATTACCTTAATTTTGCCAAATCTTTGCAGGGCGTATAGAGCTAGAAAACAGAAGGGGGGGGAAGAATTTCCTAGCATGCCATGCCAAGACAAACTCCCATTGCTCTCCCTGTTTGATGGAGAGGAGGAGTTTGTCACATTGACAGATTTTAGGACATCCGTCAGATGTTTGAAGTCCCCTGACAGGCTGTGTGAACATCACAGCAGTCTGACTGTGCAGAGAGCATGATCAGTGTTAACCTTTCATCCTTTCATGTGTACTGGGATCAGCACAGACTGAACTAGAGAGACACCTACTGGCAGAACAAGACTTGACACTAAATGGACAAAATAAGTATTTAAGGATTAGGGATGTTTTTTAAGCTAAATGTTGTTTTCCTAGAGTAAGCCTGCAGTATTTTGTTCTTCTTGTTAGCATTTTGTATTGTTTTCATTCCAGTTGTTGTTGCTAAATGAGGCTGCAGCCAGACATCTAGACAAGATGATTGAGTGCTTGGTCTGAAGTGTCATCCTTCAGATGTCAGTAACTCTGCCAAACCTCTCACTCACCCACTGGCTGCCAGCCTGACAGCTGCCCACGAATGCAGCTACTTACCTCAAGCACTGTCCCTCTGGCTCTTTCATGTTATTATTATGTTATATTATTATTATTATTATTATTATTATTATTATTATTATTATTATTATTCTCATTCTCATTATAGTCATTTCTACTATATTTCCCCCTTTTTTTCATCCACCAACCAGGTGATCAGGCAGTTGATGAAGAAGGAGTTCACGCTGGAGTTCTCTCGTGACCGCAAGTCCATGTCTGTGTACTGCACCCCCGTCAAGCCGGGCTCCCAGAGCAAGATGTTCGTCAAGGCATGAATGAATAATACAATCACAAAGATAGACGTGCTTTTCGTCACATCCATATTTTTTTTGCCTTTGTTGCTTTATGTTCTTCTCATTTGTTTTTCTCACTTGCTAATATAATTCCTCCTCACAGGGTGCTCCTGAGAGTGTGATCGAGCGGTGTCAGTACCTGCGCGTGGGAACTGGGAAGGTGACGCTGACACCCGGCCTGCGTGACCAGCTGTTGTCTAAGATCAGGGACTGGGGGACAGGCAGGGACACTTTACGCTGCCTGGCGCTGGCCACTCATGACACTCCACCACGCAAAGAGGACATGGACTTGGAGAATTCCACCAAGTTTGTACAGTATGAGGTACAGTAGCAAACTGTGGTAACTCATATAATCTCATAGCCAGCAGCCAGGTAGCTTAGCTTAGCATAAAGACTGGAAGCAGGGGGAAACAGCTAGCCCAGCTGGGTCCAAGAGTAAAAGAAATCCGTCTTTAACAGGTTATAATGAGTTGTTTAATCCATACAAGTTAGTTAGGTGTTAGTTCAGTAGGTTTTTGCACAAATTAAACAAATAAGCTATGGAGAGCTGAAAAAAATTCACCAACACAAATGTTTCCAACTTCTAAATTGTAAACTCTAAAAAGCTATCTCGCATTTGGATCTTTTGTTGTCTTCTTTATTACATTTATATTGGGCTCTTGATAACATGTTAATATATGAGCCAGTCTTTATGCTAAGCTAAGCTAACTGTCTCCTGGCTGTAGCTTCATATGTAACAGACAAATATGACGGTGGTATTGATCTTCTTAACTAACTCACATGAGCATATTTCCCACAGCAGTGATTAAATCTTTATCCGGTTAAAGGATAAAGCTTTTACACTCGGTTCTTCTTCCCTAGAACTATTCCTTTGTTTTGTAGAAAGTAATCTGTTTGTTGTTTTCAGTAGCAACACAAATAAAAAGAGGTGAATTCCATTTCTGTGAAGCTGAAGTGAGATTCTGTTCTCTGATATAGTCCTGTACAACCTAATCTCTCTCTCTTTTTTTCTCTGTTTCCATTCAGCTGGGTCTCACATTTGTTGGCTGTGTGGGCATGCTCGACCCTCCCAGGAAAGAGGTGATCGGTTCGGTGAAACTATGCAACGAGGCAGGTATACGTGTTATCATGATCACAGGAGACAACAAGGGCACGGCTGTGGCCATCTGCAGGCGCATTGGCATCTTCGGCGAGGATGAGGACGTGACAGGAAAGGCCTACACAGGCCGCGAGTTTGACGATCTCCCGCCGGAGGCCCAGAGAGAAGCCGTTAAACGGGCACGCTGCTTCGCCCGCGTCGAGCCGGCTCACAAGTCGAAGATTGTGGGATACCTGCAATCATTCGATGAGATTACTGCCATGGTGAGGAAAAAGGGATGATGACTCCTACTTCTTCTTCCCTACACTAGCACCCACACCCAACTCCTTCAACTTTTACACTTTTCTCTGCTTTCTACAAATCCACCCACTGTAAAATGTTATTGTCATATCTCTTTTTATGCCCGTTGTGAAGCAAAAAATGCATTTCTCTTTTCTTTCGGCTGTGCCTTATTTGGATGACTTGTGGAGATTGCATGAGAGGAGGCCAGTGAGGCGTGACATGTTTCAGGTCTCTCTGAGGCTGCTCTCTCAGACACTGCTATCAAAAGCTGTCATCTCTGGCTCGCTCTGCTGCTTCCCATTTGACATACGTCTCAGAAGAGGGGTTGATCCGAGGGGAAGATGGGAGGAAGGGAGACAACAATATCGCCATTTGCCTGTCAGACTTAACTCCACCATTGCCTGCTGCCCAAAGCTGCATCAGACCCTGCCGTGACAGATGAATATATCTCACTTGCTCAGCTTTGGCTTAATCCTGTCTGGATCTGAAACGATAATGAGACTTCATATAATGAGATTCATTAGAGCTTTCCTTTTTTTTTAATCATCGTTAGTTTGTTGATCACTTCCCATCAATTTGTAGAGTAATCTTCCCTAAAAATTTAATTTGGGCTCAGTATTTTAGGGATACACAAGTTGAGGCAAGAGTAGTAACAAAAACCTCAATTTTGTTTTTCTGTTACAGCACACAGTGCTCGTTTGTGTGAACCAAAGAATTTATTTGAACTTTTATTCTTCAAAGATTATTCATCTTTCTGCTCCTGAAAATATTTCTCTGCTACCTGAAAGTCGTTCTTAATAATGTTGCACAAAATCAGCCTTTTTACACTGAAAGCTGCAGCAGGTAACTTTTATAAAAGTTAGCTACTTTAACTTTAATGTAGCAGCTTCATAAATGTTTGAGGTTTTTATGCATAAGCTATGCACTACTATTGTAATGTTTTTGGGGTTGTTCACATAATCACAAACTCCAATACAGTCCTTTAGTGTGAGGTTTCCTGATGCATTCGTGGCTCAATCAGTCTTTTCTCGTCACAGACAGGAGATGGTGTGAACGATGCCCCAGCCCTGAAGAAAGCGGAGATTGGCATCGCCATGGGCTCCGGCACTGCCGTGGCCAAGTCAGCATCCGAGATGGTGCTGTCAGATGATAACTTCTCCACCATAGTGGCTGCTGTGGAGGAGGGCAGAGCCATCTACAACAACATGAAGCAGTTCATCAGATACCTCATCTCCTCTAACGTGGGAGAAGTCGTCTGGTGAGAAATCGCACTTTCATACAACCACCATGTGGGATCACCTTCAGTCTGAAGTCCTCGGCTCACATTTGTGTGTCTTCTCACTGTCCGTTTCCAGCATCTTCCTGACAGCCATCCTGGGTCTCCCTGAGGCTTTGATTCCAGTCCAGCTGCTCTGGGTGAATCTGGTGACGGATGGCCTGCCTGCCACCGCCCTGGGCTTTAACCCCCCAGACCTGGATATCATGGACAAACCTCCTCGCAACCCCAAGGAGCCTCTCATCTCTGGCTGGCTCTTCTTCAGATATCTTGCCATTGGAGGTAGTGTTGGCTCTGACCTGCTGGGCCACTAAGAATCAGTGTGTGATTTTGTCATAGTATTTATAGTGTTATATTATAGGTCTCATATAAGTAATGTAACCATACCAGAAGAAAAATAATATTAGCATATATGAAACACAGAAGTCCCTCATTCTGAATATTTCCATTATATTAACATTATTAACAATATATACATTACAGTATGAAACATATTCCTTCTGTTTTCCATCGAAATATACCAGACACATACATGCCTTATCTCTTATTTTAGTGACAACTTTTGACTCAAACTGTGTCAATAGAGGATCTTAAAATGACTTTTGTTTGGAATTTCTGTCTGTGACAAATGTCTTCAGTTGGTATCTGATGTATACATATGTCTCTGACTGTTTTTCCTGTAGGATATGTGGGTCTTGGAACAGTGGGTGCTGCCACATGGTGGTACCTGTTTGATGAAGATGGCCCACAAGTATCTTTCTATCAGCTGGTGAGCAAAACATTTTTCTGCCCAGTATGTCTTCTTGTATTTGCTGCAGCACAGTCCCCTCCTCAGAATAGGTTTTTTTATGTCATATTTTGATATGTAGACCCTCCCGGCTTTCTTTACATTCCCTGCTGTTGGACACAGTGATGTCGGGCATCCCAGTAGTGTACAGAAATAGAAAAGGAAGTAAGACCCATGTGGTTTGATTGAGCACGGGTGGGAACAAGGCCAAGGCTCTGCAGCTGTTCCCCCATCAGATCTGAGCCCCATCAAACCACGTCGCATAGGTCTCTGTGACATCCTGCTGACACACATGCGAGCACAGACACACGTACACACACACTGACTCCTCTCCGTCTCCCTCTACAGAGACACTTCATGCAGTGTACTGAAGCCAACCCCATGTTCGAGAACATAGACTGTGAGGTGTTTGAATCCCGCTATCCCACAACCATGGCCCTGTCTGTGCTGGTCACTATCGAAATGTTCAACGCGCTCAACAGGTCAGTCATCTTCTGTTGTGATGTCGGTTAAATGGTCTTTAAATGTCACGGCTGTCAGATATTTATTAAAAAGAAGACACTGTCATCCAACAAGACAGCACTCCCTTTGAGAAAGAATTACACAGCTGTGTGAGGGATAACCGCATTCTTTCCATACCAGAAAAACACATCCATCACTCTTTTCACTGCTGAAGGACTCAGTGTTGCTGTTTTATAATGCCCATATATTTTATATTCTGCATTTGGGGAATGTGGCAAAGAAATCAAGCTTAACCAGACATCTTAAGAAATGGAATAATGCTTATTTGGGGAGGCAGAAAATAAAAGGAACAGTGGTATGAAGGGAAAACTCCTCATGTTTTTGCCAGGATTGCTCATGGAGCAAGTCTGTCAGTAGCTCCCTATAGAAACAAATGTTCATGTCTCGTTTCGGAAAGAATCTGAGAAAGGAAAGGTTCAAATAAAGAGCTGCCTGACCAATGAAAATGTCATCTCAAGCCAGGACAGTCAGTAAAACTGTCAGGGGAGACACATGTTTACATGGTTGCTATCACCCATACAACTCAGTCTCTCTCAAAGACTAAATAAAGTCTTGGCTTATTTCAGTTGTAATGTAGTTGTGTTTCTCTAATACAATACAACTAATACAATCTTAAAGACTGTTAGCTGGGCAGAGTTATTTGATCTTTTCAACGTAATAGAATAACTTCCAAGTGCCGAATTTGAAGTCAGTTATAAATTGTCAACATGTTTTGATCTATTAAAACTTCTCCCCGCTAGTTTGTCTGAGAACCAGTCCCTGGTCAGGATGCCACCCTGGGTCAATGTTTGGCTGCTGGGAGCCATCATCCTCTCCCTCTCCCTCCACTTCTTAATCCTCTACGTTGAGCCTTTGCCGGTGAGTACTTACCTGCAGGACACTTGTAGACTGTCAGTGAGTCTAGTGAGTGAAAAATACATACTGATAATACATACGGATCATGGTCCAAATGCTTGACAGTCTCTGACAATGCTGACATGTGAGTTGTTTCTAATGACAAAAAAAGCACATTGCAACTTGAGAAAACAAATGCAAACCAGTCCCTCCAGGATTTGGAAGGTTCTTTTGGAATTGTTGCAGCAGTTTTCTTTTAAAAATGCTGTGTTTTTAGGCATTTTTTTGTGTGAGAAAGTGAAAATTGCTTCTTTTTTTCCATTATTAATTAAAAATCAAATGTACCAGTGAGCTCAAAATCACACTGTTTGGACTGAACTAGAAATAAGGAAGTGAGTTTGTTGACATATGGCTCAACTTTTTGTACAAGAAGCCACAACGATTGGTCAGATTTGCAGAACATTTGTGGTGATTGGACAAAATTGAAGGTTTTGGGGATTGGTTGAATTTGCATTCATTGTTGCTATTGCAACATCGCAACTTCATGGAGGGACTGGCAAACAGTCAAAGCACAAGCAAATGAAGAAAACATCTTAACCAAATGGACTAAGATGTAGCATCATAAAGAAAACACAACCAAATCTAGAACCTATACGGGTCAGATAACGTAACTTTGTTTCGTTCCGTGCAACTGCAGCACTTCTGTATTTCGTTCTGTTTTTTCTTACTTTTTTTCCTAAATGCTGTGCATAAATTGTGTTTTGTCTACTGTGCCTGTGTTTATTTTCTTAAATTGCAGTGCGTTGAGTTGTCAGGACCACCGTAGAAAATGCTTCATTGCCAGTGTCTACTGTATCTCTGTCTACCATCCGATGCATTATTATAAGAGTTTCTGACTTTTGAATTTTCTCTGTCTTTCAGCTGATCTTCCAGGTGACCCCCCTGCACTGGTATCAGTGGATTGTGGTCCTGAAGATTTCCATCCCTGTCATCCTCCTGGATGAGGCACTTAAATATATGTCCAGGAACCATTTAGATGGTATGTTGAGGCTTTTTGTTCCACTTTTCCAATTAATTAACCCATAAAGAGTCAGATGTTATGAGTCTGAAATATATAAAGTTAGTGAAGTTTATTCAAACCATGAAAATTCTTCCAATGTTGAAAATCAGATTTTACTGACAAGTCTCTTTTGCTCTCTTTTTTTCTCCTGCATTTCTAATTCAGCCTAAATTCTTTTTATCTCACCTTCTGTGAAAAGGTACTCTTATTTCCAACCTCTTCATGCCTTCTTCTCTCTCCAGTAGAAACTCGTAGCTATAGACTGATCGCACTAGCTGTCATGTATTCTAAATGGCGTGTTTCTTTCATCCCCGGCAGGTGATGAAGAGAAGAAATATCGCAGGAGATGGCAGCTGAACTAAGACCTCTCCCTCAACACACTCACACACTTAGACACACGCCTATCCTCTTCCCTTTACAAGCTAGGAACCTTTTCTCTCCCCTGTCCTCATTCCCCACTCCTGCATGTCCGACAAACCACCACTAGAAATGAGCAGTGGCTTGCATGAGAGCGAGTGTGCAAGAAGAGAGCATGCGTGTTCCTGCGAGCATGGCTTTGTATGAGCGTGTGTGTGTGTGTGTGTGTGTGTGTGTGTGTGTGTGTGTGTGTGTGTGTGTGTGTGTGTGTGTGTGTGTGTGTGTGTGTGTGTGTGTGTGTGTGTGTGTGTGTGTACAGGCGGATGCAGGCCTGTCTTTATAGTTGCGAGAGCGAGAAACAACTGCAGAAGAAAACAAACAACTGCAGAAGAAAACAACAACACAAAGATAAAACTTCCCAGGGCTCTGCTTTTTAAAGATTTCTGCTCATTGGTTTTTTTGACTTTACAGTACAAACATAGTGGTGCAGTAACTGGACTTTGGGGAGGGAAGGAGAGGGAGGACAGGGGAGCGCAGGTTGATAATACTGGGTGGGAGGGGAGGGGAGGGGAGGGGAGGGGGGTTGAAATTAGCACAGAGACCGAAAGAGAGATTGAGAGGCCTGCCATGGGAAAGAGACTGATGTACACACTGGCAAAAGAAGAGCATCAGCAAGAATGTGGAAGGTTAAAACAGCCGGCTCTGGAGGGCGGCACGACCAGTGTAGAGAGCCATCGTACCTGTGTGTGTCCACGAAAACATTATCTGGAGGTACTGCCCAGGCTTCTGCCACCCACACTACTGGCACTGACTTCCAGCCGGCTCTGCGAGAGCACAGCCTTGTCAGCACAACACCATTGTATCTTTGGCCAGTTTGTCACAGCGCTGCTCCTTCATCGCTCTTTACTCTCGCCACATATAAAGTCTTAACTCCTATTGATTGTGTTTTCTGCAGAATTACTCTGCCTTTTTTCCTGTCTTGCTCTCTCTCTCTGTCTCTCTTTCTCGCTCTGTGTCGAGGAGGCAGCTGTGGGACCGGGGGTTCGTGATGTTATCGGGCTCTCTAGTTAAGGTTGTGGAGAGATGTTGCTCCACCTAAAGGTGTGAATAGCTTTACGCCGCTTGGCCGCTTCCTTCGGCTCTTAATTCGAGGAGCTGAGGTCAGCTCACAGACTTGGCAAAAATAAAAGAACTAAAAATGTCAGACAGCAACCAAACCAGCATACCTGTAGAGCAGTTGTCAGCCAGTCCACCCAGCTGGTCCTGTTAAGCCTCACTTTAATGTCCATCTGCTGTGCTGCCATTGGAAATTTTCTCTGTCAAATATTTAAATTAAATGTAGATCTGAACAACGGGATGAAGCTCCGTGACATTTTGTGCAGACTGATTGTCCTGGAGTTTCATGTTGTTGATATCCCTTTAATGTATTCAGTTATTTCTAAGCCTGCACCAGCGCCAGGGTGTGTGTGCATACTGTATAGCCTTACCTGAATTAATTAGTCTAATTTGCCTCGATAGGCTTTTCAGTCACTGAATCGCACAGTTGATGTAGTTGAAGTAAGTAAGTTAGGGATTGGCAAGTAAACTGCCTGATTGTCTCACTTGCTCATGAATCATTTATATATTAAGCACATTTAACATCCATGCACTCTTACACAGCCCACTGCACCTCCACATTGAATATGTGGTCGAAATGAATGTGTTTCCGCCAACCTTTAATTACCCACCGCCACCACTCTCACTCATACGCGCCCTATCAGTGATATTCATTCTGATCACTTGAGGTCTTAAAGACTCTGAATGTCCACCTGGTCTGCAGCATGTTTGATAGGGAAACCCTCTTTGTTGTGCTTTGTGCGCTGCTCCCTCAGCTCCTCCTGCTCTCTCAGTGCTTCAGCAACTCACTTGGGTATTGTTTTATAATGACTTAATAGTAATGTATTTGACTGAATGAACCCACAGGATTTGGATTGTGTCTTTAAGTCTTAATTATGGGTTTCGTGTTGGGCCCTGGTGCTCTGGGGTGGGGGGTCAGTGGTGTGTTTGGTCTACTGTTGCTTCCACAAGGGATAGAGAAGAGTGCATATTAATTAAAAAAACAAAAAAAACATTGTGAAGGTGCTGGATAAACAAAAATAGGAAATTGGATCGGCACACACTGTCAGTCCCTCATAATAAATATAAATTAGTCTAATAAAGCAACGTTTCGATTACAGAGATCTTCAAGGGACTTTTCCCTTTGCAAAGATCTCTGTGCAATTTCTTTAAATTAAATGAACTGGGCTTTATTGACAGTTGATTATCTTTTTTTCCCTTCCATTTCCTTCCAAATCCCTCCTTAAACACTGTAGCCATTAGTGACCAATCTGCTTTTGCTCACAGGACTGTATGTAGTTGCATTCGTCTATTTTGTTACTTGGTGATGTTTTTTTCTCAGACTCTAGGGGATAACTAGCTAAACTTGGTTAGCATGACATCATCATATTTCCAGTTCCACGTGCACTCTGGGGTCATTCTTGGAATTGTACAGTAGGAAATCACTCAGACTTTGGTGAAGCAAATGAAAGTACACTAAAAAGTAGATTAAAAACATCACCAGCCACAAAAAGAGGCTTTGAACATCACAGCCTGATGACATTTGGCAATGTGAGAAGACTTAATGGTGGAATATTCCTTAACATTTTATACCAGAATACCCTTTATCCCAAGTAAATAATTACTTTGATTACTTGACATAAAACAGTCGTTACGTTCAGTGACTTCTTCATTATGTTTTGGTTTTTTTACACCACCATGAGAATGTGGCACCTCTGTCCGGACCAGCAGACCACCTGTCCCTGTCCCAGGTCTCCATAGCTCTGTAACATGCTGGCACTCTGGCCACCAGGCACTATAGGTCTGTATAGCCCTGTTATTTACTACTGAATCCTCAACTCTGTACAGAAGATGAGAAAATGATCGCATGGAACCATGTTACTGTAATAATAACCTATACAGTATATGATATTTAATTTTTTGATAACTTACATCAATGAAACTTACTTATCAACAACAGACAGACTTGCGAGAAACCATTTTTTTATTTTTCTTTGAGCACATGGTATCTAAGGATCTAATTTTTTTGTTTTGTAGAATAGAAAGGTTGTTTCTTCATTGTTCCCGTTTGGTTTTTACAGTTGCTGGGGTTTTGTGTCTTACTGTAGGGAAAAGAATATGACGTTACCATGTTTAAGATAGACAAGAATCATGCTTATGCTAATTAAGGACGATGACGTTGATCATTTCAATGATGGCTACCCGGTGTGAGAACGTTCAAGGATTTGTGAATGAACTGTGTCTGGTTTACACTGAGCGATAAAGCAGTGATGAATCCTGGGTTATGAAGTTTTATGACTGTACATTGAAGGGCTTGGTGTGGATGCAGGCTCTAGAGACCCCTGACAATCCTTATGGGCTGACAACTCTTCCAGCGTCTTCTACCATCTGTAAAAGAATAACCACCTTTACTAACCGTGAAGGAGTGATCAGTAACATCTTACCAACGCTTCCCTTTTCTTTGTCTGTATGGACGAGTAAAAAGTCTCTAGAGCCCGAGTTCCACCTCTGAGAAATTAAAAGGATTCTCTGTATTGCCTTGTTAATATTAATTGTGGACACATAATTTTATAAATGACAAAGACGTGGAAATAAAGATAATTTATCTTGTTATTTATTCAGAGGCTGTGTTCTTTTGTCATGTACCATTTTAAATATGAGATGATCTTTTCTCACTGTGAACAGTTTTCTTTTGGAACTACTTTCTCCCCCAAAAAATGGTCCCAATGAAAACTATTGACCGGTATTGTGTGTATAATTCTGAATATCTTCACAGACTCCAAACAAACTTCCTTTCAGAGGTTTTAGAGTCCGTTATCTCAAAACCTGGACACACAAGATAAAACAATCTGCATGGCAATATGCCACAAGGGGAAGTGGGGAAAACTTTGGGGTTTTTTTCAAACTGGCCCATTTTTCAGGGTGAATGCAACAGTAGAAAGATATTTTCTCATTGTAATGCAATGTTTGAAACAAAAGAGAATAAGTGACACAGACACCAAAACTCCCCCCTATTTGCAAAACAAGTACACGCTCAAAAGGTGTTCCCAAAACTATTCATGACAGAATTTAGAGCACACACGTCCAAATAACTGCTGCCGCCGCTGGATTAGTGAGCACCAAACTGAAGGCAGACAAATGATCTGCACACTGTACTGACAGCTCCCAGCAAATACAAGTTAACAGATAAACATTTGATGTAAGTGAAATCTCCATCGAGCATCATCAAAAAAACATCACAAAGCAGAAGAAGCAATGTACAGACAGAAACACATCACTCAGGTGGCTGTGATCTGTAATTACTCTGAGACTGGACCAATCAGAGAAGAGTTGGATGACACCGTCTGAAACATGGAAGACAAAACATGCCCTTTCCATCCAATATTGAAAAACATTAAAGGTCCAGTGTGTAACATTTAGGAGGATCTATTGGCAGATATGGAATATAATATTCAAGGTATGTTTTCATTAGTGTACAATCACTTGAAAATAAGAATTGTTGCCATGTTTCTACAGTAGCCCAGAACGGACAAACCAAACCCTGTAGATGGGGCCTTTGGTGTTTTTTGCATGTTTTGCGGCCACTGTAGTTTCTCCCACACACTTCCCAGGTTGTCACATACAGGTTTGACTGGTTTTCAGTTAGTAGTCCTACACAAAAGTATTTTACATCAATTCAATTCAATTCAGTTTTATTTGTTTAGCTCCAATTCATAACAGAAGTTATCTCAGGACACTTTTCAAATAGAGCAGGTCTAGACTGTACTCTTTATAACATTATTTACAGAGACCCAACAGTACCACCATGAGGAAGCACTTGGCGACGGCGGCAAAGAAAAACGTCCTTTTAAGAGGCAGAAACCTCGGACAGACCCTGGCTCTAGGTGTCCAGTTGGGGTTAGAGAGAGATGTTGGGGGGGGGTGTTAAGTTAAATTGCAGACACAATGGAATCATAACATCATACCTGCACACCGTGGTGAGAAACAGAGTATTGGAGGCAGTCTGTTTACTGTACAATAGCTTGTCACACCAGCTGTAATATTCTGTCTGCTCAGACACCTCAGATATGTTAAGTTGGGTTTGGTTCATTGCCAGTATTATATATATATATTTGGTCGGAGTTGAATTTATTGACAATCAATAACAACATTGTACAGGACAACATTCTACACTGTAATGCCATAAATTATTTTATTTTATGGATTACATCAAACAAACTCAATTTTGTAAATTACAAAACATTTGGATAAAGTACCTTTTACTATAGGTTTTATATATATATATATATATACAAATAAAAAATTCAAAATGAAGTCAGTGTCGCTTAAAATGACTAAAGATACTTGATCAATAATGTTTTGTTAACTTACAAAATTTAGTGTTAAATATAATCATTTCAACAAAGTTAAATTAACTTATCTGGTTTTACAGTGAACTCATCATATTAATAATAAAACTATTGTATACATAAGGACATTAAAATACACAAAGTACCATGCACATAAAAGGTAAGATACCTTAAACGGAAGCTCAGTGTGAAAACCATGGCCGCTGTGTAAAAAAACAGAACCAAAAGTCAAATCAAATTGTGTGAATGCATTTGAAGTTGTGAACACTACACCACTGCATGTGCAATATTAGAACAACACTGCACCAAACAAACTGTTGCATTGAACCTTTGGAGCCAGCAGGGGGGGATATTACACCACCTTTTCTTTAAGTATAAAGCTATAAGGTCATGTCAGGATGTTTTGTATGTCCCTATCTTTCTTAAGGAAAAGAAATGGGGACTGGTTTTGTTGTGTAAGGAAGACCAACCCAATGAATCTTTGCTGCTTCTGTCTTCTCCATGAAACAGAGACCTGCACCCATCTTTTAGATCCAGCCTAAACACAATCACATGCACCTACAGCGGCCTGTCTGGCTACCAGTTACCACACAGCCGTGAGTACTTTGTCATGCTTCCTCAGATCTCACATGTGGGAATGACACACACCCTCTCAGGGGGAAGTTCCTGGATCCCGAGGGCTGCTGGGAAAATAGAAGAGGATCTCATTAGTACCAGCCCATTATTTCCACCCTGAGCCTCAGAGGGATGCAGGATAAGGAAAGTCAGCAGGGGCGCTGTCCCAGTGAAACACACAAAAACACAGACTGAGGACAGCAGCTGAGAAAACTTGACTCAGTGATGAACAAATGGAATGGCCACACACAGGGACAAAGGTGTTGGAATACAATTGGCTCTTTTTGTCTGAATTTTAGTTGAAGTGGACTCTGTCTCTTTGTGTTGCTAGGAACACTGCATGTAATGATAGGGTGCAAATGTCCCCTGGTTGATTTATGTGCTCTGTTTAAGTCACAGCAACATCAGGACAGCAGCGCTGTGATAAGGAACATTTGGTAATGAGCTTTTTTTTTTTCAAAATGACAAAATCGATTAGACACAATGAAATACTGATAAAACAGAAGAAAAAAAACGTCATGCCCTGGGATATGTGGAGGTGAAATAACAAGACCCCAGGGGCTGACTTTTAAAATGACAAGCACAAACAAAGATGAAATGGAGTTGGATGACAAAAACAGTCTGAATGAAAATAAACCAGGATTTTTACGACTGTTCTGTTTTTCTTTCTCTCTATGATTCACACTTTTCTTTGTTTTTCTGAAACTGACTACTGCTCCCACATGATTATGAATTGCTTACATTTGCAGTAGAATATATAGAAAAAACTATGTTGGTGTCATTATAGTTTACCCACGTAAGATATCATTAAAAACATCACTGCTGTGAAACCAGGATAAAGTTCTAACACAAGCAAGATTTACAGATCTTAGATAATGATCCGGTCACGCACCATGTCTACATTAGACCAGTCTTACTATGCACATACAAGGCTGTGTGCTGGCTGATTTTACACTGTGACTCATATGAGAATAAACAGAGTCTGCTCGCTGTGCAGTGGACTCTCTGGGGACACACGTCTAGAAAACTGCCATGAGACAGAAAAGGCTGGAAAATACTTGAAATTTGGGGGTTGATTGTGCTGTGAGGGAGGACATTCTGCCCCTTATCCAATGGTGTCAGCCGGTGTTGTGCCGTGAGGCTGAAGCTGTTGCCAAGAAACTAAATGAACTTGAAATGAACTTTCCCCACGGCCGTGACAGGGGAAGGATAGTCCTCTCAGGGCTGCAGCATGCACTACAACCTCTCTCTGTTTGGTCAACCAGTTACTGCGGTTTTACAGCTGATACATAGAAACTGTGCAGTGTTTACCGGTACACTCACTGTAAAGCCAGTGGTGAAATGAAACAAAATGAGTATTTGAGTATTTACTTTATATGCTGCTTTATACTTCCTGTAAACTACACTACCAGTACTTTTTACTGCACTGACAGCTACAGCTTACTTTCCAAATGAAAAATGATTGTGCAGACAAAAGACCTGCTGAAGAGACTATAAAACTGTTCATATAATTAGAGCTGAAACACTAAGTCAGTTAATCAATTTAATAAATTAATTGTCAACTATTTTGATAATTGTTTTTTAAGCAAAAATGTCTCAAACATAAGGATTTGCTGCTTTTCCTTGTAATGATTTTATGATCATGATTTATTTATTGTTTATTCTGTCCATCCAATAGTTACTTTAAAAAAAGGAAACTAATAGAAGTAAATAAAACTAAACTTTTATGTAACTACTACATAAAACTGCCAAAGACTCCAGGAGAATGCTGCTTACACATGAATGGATGGGTAACGATTAACTAATGATATAATGAGTCACATGGGTCACATTTCAAGTGCATTTTCCTGATTATACTTACTTTTACTGAAGTAACATTTTGTTTAGTATTGTTACAGTGTGGTACTAGGAGCCTACTTTAGTAAATGATCTACTGCTAGTACTTCCTCCACCGCTGGTTAATGTCTCGTGAACAGATTGCAGGTGTATATAAGTGAGAATGTTCACAATGATGCTGTTATGGGGAAAAATAACAATGTCTCTCTGTCATTGTTAACACACAGTTGTAGTATTCAGAGGGGAAGTGGTGATTCATGGGATTAAAGGAGGATAGTGGATTTAGTGGCATTATGAACTGTATTATTCAGAGACTGAGTCATGTTGACACAGGCCTGCTAGAATTGTCAGCACGTGTTAGTCCACTACTTAAATCCACATTCTAACTCTCTCTTGAATAGAGCGTGGATGTTTTAACATCATTTACTCTTCTTTACATTTACATTTCTTCACAGAAGTGAAGAAAATGCTGAGATATTGGCCTGCTGTGTATATAAGTTTTCTTACACCACTTAAAATCAAGAAGGCCCCACGACCTCCCATGAGCTCCCGACCCCCAGGTTGCAGTATATGTTATCATATGTCCCCTCAGTGATCGATCACAGCAAATGGATATGTTGTTAAATTTGTAGTTAACAGAAATAGTTGCCTTTCAGTAGGACCCAATGGACTCTATGAATGATGGCCTGGAGCACTTTCCTGTGTGTTCTTAGAATTGAATTGAATATGAATATGAGAATGAGCAGATATAATTTTCAGAATATTTAACTTGTTAAATGAACTTTTTTGTGTAAAACTCATACCAGACAAATTATTAATCCTAGTAGAGTAATGTTATAGTCTTAAAACATATCTGCTAGGATCTTCAAGCTCATACTGTACATCTAATATGCCCGCTGGCTTGTATTATTTCTGTTGGAAGTTATCTATCCTCCACTGGAGCTGCTCACTGTCTAACAGTAGGAGACTACAGTTCATCATGAAGCTCAGAAGAAGTGGAACTGTATGTAGGTCTAAATGTGAGTGGCAGGACCCCTCAGCAAACACCCCTTGGGGAAATAAAGGTTAAACGTATCTACTGGAAATTGAATTGATTCTGATGTCCGTAGCTGATTAATCAATTGGCTACAACATGTTGAGCACACTGCAGTGCAGTCAGTAATGAGACTGTTACCCTCTGCAGTCAGAACTGACAGCTCTGCTTATCTTCATTAATTACTCAGACGTTCATTTGAATTTTTGTCAATTGAGAAATGAAAGAGGAAGTGGCCAGCAGAGGCGCTAGCTGGACTGGTCCTCCATAACTCCACTGTCTGTTAAATCCAGTCTGTAATGGAGGGGCAGAGGAGAACATTCCACATGTGGCACCTGTGGCTATACAGCATCATCTTATTCCCAGTGTGTGTAACGCTGTGTCTCACAGTGTGGACTGTGATAGTGTGGATCCCAGCAGTGAATTATGGGTCGATCCTGGCCATGGTGCGGGGAACAGGGCGGGTCTTAGGACCCATGGTTTCATTTCTTGTCGAATAATAAAAGTTGGGGTTAGCCGTGCGCGGTCGATGTGCAACAAAGCGGTCCCAAAGTGTGTGTGAGCCGCCCTTCTTCTGCTGCTGTCTGCGTGTGTGTTTATGTGTGTGTAGGTGTGGGTATGTGTGCGTGTCTGTGTGTGTGCACATCGCAACAGCAGCCAGCTGCGGGCTGTGTGTACCATCAGCCGCTGGGTGTCTTCACTCTGTGGGGCTTCACTGTAGACAACAGAGGCTAGTGTAGGCTGGGCTGTCCGTGTTTTCCGGAAGAGAGAGGGTGTGAAACATGGGACACAGCTCAGGTCAGCAGCTGATCCAGCCACACGTCTGAAGCACGGGAGCCCGTACGGATGCCTGTGTGCTACTCGGCTGTGAGCAGAGTGAACCAAACCGGCACCGTGCGTCCAGCCGAACGGGACAGCCCTGTGGATCCCTTTCACTGACACGCTTAAAGGGGCTCAAACACGCCCGAGCACTCATTTGGGTAAGTGAAACTTTTAAGATCATCTCATTTCAAGTGCATTCACGGTTCAGACGTGGCTCGCGGGGCCAGTCGGGAGTAAATATGGGGAAGTAAAGCAGAACGCGCTCTTGTGCAATGCAGATGGATCAGCCTGCACGTGTTCCCTCACCGTGGGGTATTGTTGTTCAGTGGATCGTAAGGATATCGGATCCTCTGCAGTTGCACTGGATTTCAACCACTTTACACACACACACACACACACACACACACACGCGCGCGCTCGGGCACGCACTTTGCGCCATGGGATTGGGAGCTGCACTGAAATGCAGCATGCATGCACGTCAATACTGTGCCATATTGATCTGTGTCATGCACCTGTCGTAAACTGCTGCTGCCTCATACCCGCCAGAGGACTTGTGTGAAGGGGTTAGTGTAGTGCTGTACAACCTGGGGTCCGGGGTCCCACCAGGCGACCCAATGGTCCCAAATAATTTGAGGATTTCTTTTTAGTTTGCTCTCCAGGAGTTAGTCCAGTAACACACAGGGATTCAAGGTTTGATTACAGGTTTCCCCCTCCAGCCCATGAACAAGGGAGTGGGATCCAGTGCTGAAATGATTAATTGATTAGTCAATTGACAGAAAATTAATAATTTACCGTCATTTATCAAAGAAAATGGATGACATTTATTGGTTTCAGCTCCTCGAACATGAGGACTTGCAGGACTTCTCTTTTTAATAATCTAAGTTAGATGTCTTTTGAGTTTTGGACAGTTAGTCGGACAAAATAAGCAATTTAAAGAACGCCCCCTTGAAGAATTGAGCATTCTTCAGTATTAACATTAACAGTAGTAACATTTTGTTTATTTTGTGCATACAAAAATGTTGTTGACAAAATGATTAAACCATTAATCAGAGAATTTGACTTACTTATTTATTATTAATAATAATAATAATAATAATAATAATAGTTTGCTGCAGGCCTAATAAACATGCTTATTTCATATTTCTGGTGTAAGATTGACTTGTCAGCATGGGGAATATGACTGAGAAAATGACTGTAACTGTACAATAGTAATTTTAATCCTATTTTGAAACAACCTCATTCAGCAGAAAGTTACTCCTGTTTTTTTTCTGTTTTAAGACACAATAACAAAAAGAAATCAGAAAACAAGGTGTCTAATTAAAACAAGCGATGGCTTCACGTCTGCCTCAAGTGGTGCTCATTTCAACCAGTTGCCAAGTCAGTTAATCCTTCATTCATGAGGCACAGGGCTGAATTGTTCCTTTTGAATTTACTGGAAGGATGACTTCAAAACGAACTGCTGCTGCACCTTGAGAGACATCGAGCACACGAGTGACACGCAACAGATTACAGCAGAGTCTCCACTTTTGTTCTTGGTGGAGTCAGCATAGTGTCTGCTCAGCAAAGAGAGAACCAGTCCGGCTTTGGTCCACTGACAGTATGATGACTTAAATATTTAAAAAGAGCTCTGCTGAACTGGAGGATGCATTGCAACTACACCGATGTGTTTGTGTGTGTTGTTGCTGAGCAGTTCTGAATGTGACTTTATGAGCAGTAAATGCCAGAAATGGCACTGTGATACAGTCTGATGGGCCTGTATCAGGACTAAGAGCAAGATTAAATGGTTTTCCAATTTTTACAACAAAGGATCATGTGGCTGCCTTGCATTTTGTCCTTTTGTACCTGTGCAATCGCTGAATCTCTTATGTAAGGAGAGCAGAATGGAGAGAATCTGCCCACAAATGTAAGGTACATTGCCAATAGCAGTTTTTTTGAACATGTTTTTTTTTTTGTCTGGGTGGATTTTCCTTTAAGCAATCCTCATAAACTGCACAGTCTAAGGTGTATTTTGACGGAATAGAACAAGCTCTACAATGATGTAATGTTCCAGTCATCGTGTCTTGTGTTTGCATGTTTCATATTGGAGACAGCTGCCTTGTGTGCTGTAAATTAATAATACCAGTATCACTTCTGTTTCTTTTGCCCGCTTTTTTTCGCTGAGTCTGCTGATGGCTGTGCTGACAACCCCTTTAACACTTCTTCACGTGGGCTCTGGTAATCGTACCAGAGCTACGACCCAGCGACTGACAAAGAGGACATGTCAACAGCTCCCAGCTCCTTTAGCCCCTCTGGGAAATCACTTGAGTAAGGCGGGGGGTGGGAGAAATCAGCATTGTGTGTGTATTCTTAAGCAAATGTGTGCAGGTTTATGTGTATATTGTGGCTATATTAGTGTCTTTAATAAATATCATAAACAGTTTTACATGGAGGCCTGGACATCATTCACCCGTATTATGTCCAGCACAGCTAAACTCTGAGAGCCAGAGAATGAACAGGGAGCGTCTCTGCTGGCTGCTGAACACTGCTGTGTCCTGCTGCTTCTCTTATTGCAACAATTTTCTATTTTCGGTCATCGTACCAGTTGATTGTGATCACCAAATCAGAGCTACACACAATTTGCAGAAAGTGTTTTTCTTTGATACAGTCAAACCAAAAGACCCTTGTATTTGTTTGATGGGTAATTGCTCGATATATCCCACATGTGGAGTGCGTCCTCTGTGGGCTGTGCCTCTGGATGCATCTTTTGTGTATGAGCATGGCTGTCCATGAAGACAAATTTACAGGCACTCAGACTGGATGAAAATTGAAATCCGTGCATGACCTTGACCTAGAGGGGTTAGGCATTGGGAGGGTTTGATGCTTTTACGTACATCCATTAAAGGTATGAGTTATCATTTTCACAAATGGTGTTCTAAAAGACAGCCTATAATTAAAACAATTTAATTTCCCTCTGTTTTTTGAGGATCACAACCTTAATGAGTCATTTTGAAAAAAACATTTGCAGCAGAGCGGTATAAATACTCACAGAACAGTTTCCCTCAGAGATTTTAACCGCTCTTAACGTGTGACTGAACTGTGTTTCCCAGTCTCAGCCCTGTGAAATCCACAGTGAAGAGCTCTTTATTTGATGTCTGACAGGTTTTTATAATATATCTGTGCGAAAAGAGTAACAGCTGTACCTGTTGTAGTGTTTCTGTTACAAAGCTAGTACTGTTAGCACCGTATCCGCCACCTCCTCTGTGGAATCAGCCTTCTGTTCCTGGAAGCTCTCAAGTTGTGTTTGTGGAGTTCCACTGTCATGGAATCACTCTAGTGTGCGCTCACACTGGGTTTTTAGGGTTGATCAACACACCATACAACAGTATAACAGGCCAGCTTTCAGTCTGCGTTGAGATGACTGATGGAAAGCAGGTTTAGAGTCATGTGTAAGCTTTAGAAATGATGGGCATGTCATTATTTGTGAAGGGTGTTTTTGTGTCTTCATCTCTCACTGTCTAAGTGAAAATTAAAGTTGTAATTTACACAATCTTGAAATTCATGTGGAATTTTGTCTTCACTGATCAATGTTGAACTACACACAATGTCTTGGATGAAGCTGTTTTTCATTGTGTGGAGTTGAAAAGTATGCACTGAATACAAAAGAACTGAACAAGAATCAGTCTTGCATGTGTTGTCACCCTGCAGGCACAATCGGCCCAAATCTGCTTTACTCATATGTGACTCAGATCTGGTTTTTTTTTTTATGACAACATGGAATCTGATCTTTTCCATTCTGATTTGTGCCACTTTCATTCAAAGAAACATTCGTCATGTGGGTCACTTCAAGGCCATGACCTGTTCACACTGGAATCTGATATGAGCCACATTGAAAAAAAAAAAATGTGAACAGCCAAACAAAAATGATCAGATCTGAGCTAATCGCTAAGGCGACCTAATAAATATAGTTTAGAACTTTCAGTAACTTGTATCACTTCAATGACTCTGTTCCCTGCTCTTACATATCTGTTCAATCCATTAATGCATCACTGCAAACTGTAGTGCAAAAGAAAATCAATTTCTGACAGCAATGGAAATTTACATACACACACTTTGAACATTATTATTATTTAGCCAAATAATCACAATCTCAGTACAGGGCCATCGTATATTTGAAGTAAAACAGTTTTTAAAAAACTACAAAGGGAGGGAGAGGATTAATTATTTACATATAAACTACAGGAATATACTAATCCAGAGATCCAGTTAGAAAGAGTGAGAGAGAAGGTCAAAACGTGAGCCAGCTCCCGGGACAACAGGACAACTTTAATTTCGAGTATTGGTGTGTTAGTCATATTAAGCCATCTCTCCCGAGACCCCTAACTTGTATGTATGTCTAATACTTACGGACTATCCCTTTTAAATAGAGACTTCTTCTCGTGCCAGTCTGTCTCTTGCCAACTATTTCTTGCCTCCCAGCTCAGAGGCAGCATGCACCCCATAAATTTTGCTTACACTGACACAGCACATGCAGTAGCGATTCTTGTTCAGTTCTTTCGTAATCAGTACATACTTTTCAACTCCACAACATTAAAGCCTGCTTCTTCCAAGACATTGTGTTGAGTTTAACATTGATCAGTGAAGACAAAAGGCCACATTACTTTCACAATTGTGTCAATTCCAACTTTCATTTCCTCTTAGACAGTGAAAGATGTGCATGTGGCATGTTACTCTCAGATGGCCTCACAAGCATTCACGTTTTACTGGTCACAACTCATTTGCATCATATTTAAAAGTTTTATACTTATAAACTATACTTTGTTTTTTATTTTGTTTTCTATTCCCATGCATCTGACGTAGGCAATGTCATTACTTTAGAATAATAATAATAAAAGGATATTAAGGACAGGGTGCAGAATTAGCCAGGATTAGCTTTGCATGTAGTGTAAAATATGATCCTATCAGCCGGAGTGGAGTGGACAAAATCAGCGGAGAGCATTTGTTTGGCAAATGTGAATGAGTGCATGGGAAAACTGTACATGTCTGTCGGATCAGTCACCAGTTCCTGCCTCCTCCTGTCACATGTCAAGCTGAAATTTGAATTGTGTTTATTTTTAAACTGATACAATACTGTCGCTCTTCTGCATAATTTTGCCTTTTTTATGGAGGATAGAACAGTTAT